AAATAATAACAACAACAGCATCGAAAATGGAAAAAAATCAAACTGAACCGCATCAATATGTTGTTTTTTTCTTCATCTTTCATTCTCTTTCATTTGAAAAATAGTATTCACAAAAAAAAAATTCCAAAAACATTTTCGCAATGAAAAACAACTAAAATGCCAAACGATTCAACCGATACAACAATGAAACAAATAGTTTTTTGTTGTTGTTGTTCTTGTATAAAGATGGATGAATAAGTCTAGCGAAATGAAATGAGATGGATACCAACAAACAAACAAACAAAAAATTGTATTGAAATTCAAAATGATTTGCATAGATAACATTTTTTTTTGTTTCGTTTTGTTTCAACAATCCGATACATTACAAAAAAAAAGTTAAATATATAATAAATATCAAACAAATTCTTAAATGGAAAGTTATAGTTAGAAATAGAATGAATGTAAAAAAAGTATTAAAAAAAGAAATGAAATGAAAATCAAAACCACAAATTTTCGAGAAAAATGTATTCTGTTGGATGGTAATCTAATTTTTTTTTTCTTTATCTAGAAAAATTTTCATATAAATAGTATGCGATTTTGAAGAATTTTTTCTTCCAAAATTAAAATTTAATGACTTTTCTGTGGTGTTGGTGGTGGTTGTGATTGTGATAATGATGATGCTGGTGGTAAGAATAAAAAAAAATTGAGATAGGCCTCCTAAATAAAATAAATGATGAAGCAATAGCAAATTCTTAATAACATCAAGTTAAAGAATATTTCTGTATAAATCCGAATTCGTATGAATTCAACAACAAAAAAAAACAACAGGGTTTTGTCATTGGCGCTTTGCATTTTTACACCATTTTTATGTAGTTTATGCAACTGCCATCAACTAAAATCAAAATCAGAACGTTGTATATGAAAAATTCGCATAATTCAATTCAAAATTGTATCGAATACAACATCGATTTGAAAATATTTAATGATAATGATAACAACAACAACAACAACATTAATGATAATTGGATTGAAATTTGCAAAAAAAAAACTGAATAATAAACAAAACAAAAAATAGAAATAAATAAAGAAAATAAGAATTTTCATTTTTTTCCAATCTTTCTCACTTGCCATCAATTTTTTTTTCTATCATTACCAAACACACACACACACACATTTTCGCCGATTATAAAATGAATGAAAAATGAAATGAAAATCAGATGCGTGAACAATAATAATAATAATAAAAGAATAAAAATAACGACAAGAAAATCTTTTATTATTATTATTGTTGTTGTTGTTGTTGTTTTCCAAAATATGCTAAAGGCAGTAACACATGTGTACCAAAAAGATCATATAATGATGTTTTTTTTCTTCTCTCACTGATTCCTGTGTCTGTGATGTTGAATTTTATCAGTTTAGATTTTTTTCATTCAAATTATTCTGCCAAAACAGATCTTTTTATAAATAAATGGTTCAATTTGATAGAGAAATTATTAAAGAAAAAAAAAATCAAAATATAATAAAAAAATTATTTGTCATATATTGATGATGGTATTGTAAAGATAAGAATTTTATATCGTGAATAATAACAATATGCAAACAAACATAAACTTCCTATCAACAAATAACATAAAATTCAACAGAAATAACAATATTTTATTTTCTCCGGAAAAAAATTTCTCAAAATTTGATTTTTTTTTTCTCAATAAGAATTTATTCATTTTAAAATGAAAAACAAATTTAACTGTTTCCTCAGAACGCACAACAAAGAGTGTTAAGGGTTAAAATGAATATTTTCTGTTGTTGCTATTTACTATATTTCAGTAATTCTTATTAATGAAAAAGTATTATTTTTTTCATTTTAATTTCACAGAATGAGAAAAAAAATTGATAAATGATTTTCTTATTTTCTATACAGAATATTTTTTTTTAGTGAAAGAAAAATAAATTATATAACCAAAATACAACCGGAATTTGTGTTATTCGTATTGACTTTTATTTCGATGGAATTTTCTTCCATTTTCTTATCACTTTATAATGATAGATTTATACAAAATAATAATATTATGAAATGAAAATGATCGTAAACGAAATCTTGTTATCATCTTGTAAAGACCATTGATACCATAAGGATAATGTTACAAGCAAAAAAAAATTCTCTTTTCATTCCTATTTTTTTCAGTATAAATAATAATGCATGGATGTTAGATCAATATTTAATAATTTGATAGTGATTAATATTATTAGAAAGACAGGCAAAAAGAAATGATGTTATGTGTTATGTTGTTCATTCATAACAAATTATGAAACTTTTCAATCATTATTAATTTACATTGTAAATTAAATGAATTTCATTGAAATAAAATCATATTCCAAAAAAAAAACAAAGCAAACAAAACGAGAAAATCAATAGGCAATTATTTTGTTGATTTTGATTTCTCTACTATTATTTTTTGTTTGTTTGGATTTAATTGTCGAAAACAAAACAAAAGCGAAAAGAAATTAAATTTTTTCAAAATGTCAAAAATTAACGATTAAGATACGATTTTGATTTAATCTTGTGTATGGGTGATATAATAATCATATTTTGAATGATGTCATTATATTTAATTTGAATGTTATTTCATTCTGTTTGACAGCCACCAAATTTTGAAAAAAAAACAAATGAAAAGAGATAAAAAAAATGTATTCGAAAAAAGCAAACAAACAAATAAATAAGTAACATTAATGTTAATTGCCATACATCTCCGGAATATCTAGCTATACAGAGAAAAAAATTACTAAATGAAGGCTGTTAGAAAAAAAAAACAAAATGAAATTTGGGCCAATTCGGAATCAAGAATAAAGAAATTAAATACAAAAAAAAAATAATTCTTCTAACAACTTAACAACAACCGATCCGAATTAAGAAAGACAAAATTTATCGAAATAGATGACAACAACAATAACAAAATTTGTCCAAATAATGACTGAATAAATGAACGGAATTGAAAATGGGCAACAACAACAACAGAAAAAAGATACATATAAACACATCCAAAACAAACCAATCCAATCAAGAGAATATGAAACAAAACGAAAAAAAAGAAGAAAAATTCTAATGAGAATTTAACTTGTAATATTCTGTATCTTTTTTTTTGTATATTCATGTTTGAAAAAATAGCAAATATAAAAATGAAATATATTTATAAAATATATATAAATGACTGATGAATTTTTTTTATATACAAAAAAAAATCCCAATAGACATCAAGAACAACAAAATTGCATCATTGCGAACGACAAAGTATTCAGGAGATTCAAAAAGAAAGGGAGAAAGAGAAGGACCGAAAGTGAAATTATAAGTAAGTAAAAAGTGAAGAAAAAAAATCTTTTCAAACTTTTGCCTTGCAGCCAGGCCATTGCATAAAAATGGATTAAGTATACCAAATTCTAAATAGAATATTTCAATATAATTTTTACATTATCATTTTCATATACATTACATGTCAAAATAGAGTTTCCGACAAATAAAAACTTTATGAATTTTGAAAAAATAAAAATTTTTCACTAACCAGAAAAAAAAGTTACGAAATTTTGAGACAAGCGAATGCCAAAATGAAGGAAAAAAAATGCAAAGCAATATGATTGGAATTTGGAGAAACGAGCAAAACAAAAAAATGTTACTGGAATTATAATTCAAAAACAAAGCCAAAGAATGAAAAATATAATACAAAACAAAACAAAATGTCAAACACCTACACAACAAGGACATTAAAAATGAAAATTTTTGATCATTCAAAAAAAAATTCATTGAAAAAAAACAACAAATTTATGACATTTCAAATTCATCCAAACTCAACCCAATATAAACTGATTGATGTCATTTTTTCGAATGCCAAAAAAAACAAAAAATTTAAATTCAAATTCCATCAAACTAACCAAAAAAAAACATCATACCTTGTTTAATAAAAAAAATTCTATTTTTTTTATATTCAATAATCAAACAGTGAAAAAAAACCGAATTGACATATTATATGATGGATGAATATGATTGATAAAAAGAAATGTATGGAATATTTTTGTTTCTCTGTTAAAAATGATGGATATCCGAAAAAAGTTTTTTCTAGTTTACAATAAATTCCATTGATATGCACAATCAAAAAAAAAACCACATACACCCACATAAACACTAAGAATTAAGAATAACAAAAAAAATTTAGTAGGTCAGAATTTTTTTTTCAAACAAAATTTTAAAATGATTTTATCAAATTAAAATTATTGAAACGAATTATGTTTATGTTGAACACTTTTTTCACTTATATGTTGAATAAATATTATGATGATATATTTTGTGTGCGCGCCAAAATTATTATTTGAAAATTTTCAATGTTTTCATGTTTATAGATTGAATGAATGATGATAGACAATAACAGAATAACGAATATAAGAAAACTTTTTATTTTCAAAAAAAGAAAAAATCCAAACAATGTTAATGTTGTTCATTCTCATAGTCTTTCGTATACGATACTGATCGTTTTTTACTAATATACGCTTGGCTTATATTTTTTGTTTTGTTTTTTGTTTTTATCATCATTCAATAACATTAACTTATCAGAATAATAGAATTCCATAAATTCTATGGTAGTGGTTTATTAGATATCATGATGTATATGTATGTTGTATGATAGAATTTGCTGACATGGGCATCGAATTTAGCTTTAGATTATTTCAGCCAATAGTATTTTTATGATGAAAAAAATAATGTAGATTCGGCGCGTTAGCAATTCTTCATTGTTATTTTGTATGGAAAATCAAAAAAATTGTATAGATAAGATAGAAGTAAAAAAAAATACAAATTTTCAAATTTTATTATAAAAATTGATTAATCTAATTGGAAATTTATGAATGACACATTGTGGTTTTATGTGTTTGTCTGTTTCTGCGTTTTACGATCCAGATTGATTATTTTACTAGAGAAAAAAATTTAAATTTATTTATTTATTTCACTCATAAAAATCGACAAAAATGAAAGGATAAAATTAATGAAATTCTTCATTCAATATTGATCGAATGCGTTGTTCATCCAATAATTTTGTAAGTAATTCATCGGCTTTACATCCATGAATAACATGTAAACGATATTGATGTCCATATTGTTTTTCAAATTTTTCGTCCAATTTCAATAATACTTTTAATCGTTTTATGTCATCATCATCATCATCATCATTAATATTTTGATTATTATCAACATTAGATGTTGTATGATCTTTACGATCAATTAATTTGATATAATCAATCTGCAATTGTTCATTATTTGCCAACGAATTTAGAAGCAAATGACGTATAGTTTTTATAGTTGATTTTGATTGATTAATTTTTTTAGCTTTCTGTAATAATTTCAATTGATATTGGGCCATAAATGATACACGACGATAAGTGTTGTCAATGATTTCAGTCATATCATTGCCTTGTAGACTGGTACCGACACATTTTCTCAATAGTTCAGTTATTTTTGTAATACGAGCTTTTGGACAATTCAATTCAAGCACTTCCTTTTGTGATTTATCACATATTCGTTCCGGTATATATAGTCGTATATAATCGAATATTATTTTGACCTTATAATCTGATAACATTTTATCATCAATCATTGAATCAACATTAACATCATCGATATTGTTGATGTTTTTATTTTCATTTTCTATTGTATGTTGAGAATCTAGTGCCGCCAAATGGATACAATCCGATGTGAATGGTAATAAATCGATACAGGCCATTCGTTTTATCTTCATATTTTTACTATTCATTTTACGTTTGCAGATTAATGCAGCTAATAAAGCACCAAAATCTAATGCTAATAGATCATATGTACCATCATTAGCTGGATCAGATTCAATCATTTTTTCGATAAGATCATAATAATAATCGACAATTTGTTTTAAAGAATCCAATGAATTAAGCTGACGAGTCCAATTAAGACCAATTACTGGACGATTCAGTTTTTGTGCCAAAACGGAAATTAAATCAAATATACCGATCAATGGTGGTAAACAATAGATTGGTTTGCCTAAGTGTGTTCATTAGTAATTGTTAAAATCCTATAAAAGATAAAAAATAAGATAATGTATTTGAAACAAACCTTTCTGTATTGAATTCAATGCAACAATCGGTGATGTTGGTATGACAAAACGTATTCGTGATAGATTTGTTTTTGCTTTTTTGATATCATCCGAATATTGTCTCAAATTATGACGATTACCATCGCGAAAATTTTTCAATTCTTTTACTGTTATTTTTCGAACATCAGCTAATGAAAGTGTTATGTTAAAATCACGTTCAAGACGTTGTTGTATTTCAACAGCAGCCATACTATCAAGACCAATATCACCAAGACATTCATTTTCTGGACGTTCATCAATGTTTAAATGTACACATAATTGTCGAATAACTTCATTATCGGCATCATTACTATTTGAATCCTGTGCATATTGTACATATGATGAATAGATACCCATTTTTTGTGGTAAAATTTTATCCAATACGTTCAAACATGAATGAATTCGTTGCATACATAAACCCATTAATGTTTTCATTATCGCTTTTTCTGAACTTGAATCAAAATTTTCGGCAACAATGCCCACATCACCAATTGGTCCAAATTGAATGCATATTCCTGATAGGCCTTAATTATTGATTGAATAGAATCATTAGTTAACAATTGTTCACTTGTTCATAGCTTACCATTATTGAATCGATTTTCGATTATTCGTTCCATTGTTGAATTTGCAAGACCATAATTGGTTTGGCCAGAATTTCCACGACCAGAACTAAACGATGAAAAAGCAACAAAATAATCAAGATCAATTTTCTGTTCACGAGTAATACGATCCAGATTTTTCAATCCATTTGATTTTGGTTGACAAACTCGTTTAAATTTTTCAATAGTTTGATTGTCAAACATTCCATCTTCTAATACCATAGCTAAATTGAAAATTCCTCCAATCACTCCAAAAGTTTTTGTTTCTTCAATCAATCGACAACAATCATCGTAATCTGCAATGTTTTTGATTGAAATTCGATATTCGATTCGATAATTATGACAATATTGTTCAATCATTTTGAAACGTTCGAAAAATACACGTTGATATGATGATCGTATACCAGAACGTGAAGTGATCATAAATTTTCTAGCACCTCGTAATATCATCCAATAGATTAATTCGAGACCAACACCACCAAGACCACCGGCAATGATATAAACTTTTTCAATATCAAACCAAGTCTTGACAAGAGCATCAACTTTGATTATTTTGTTTAAATCATCTTTTTCATTGCGTATACGGATCAAAACTTTACCGATATGTGTGCCATTAATCATATGACGGAAAGCCTGTTCAATTTGATCGATTTCAAAAATGGTTCGATCGATCGGTTTGACGACACCGTTTTGTATGCCATCATTTATACAATGGCTTACTTCAGCAAAAAAATTCTGAAAAGATTTTGATTCCAATCCATCACGAAACAAGCTATCTAAGCCAATTCCATGAAATGAAATGTTCTGCAAGAAAGCAAACATTCCAAGTGTAGAATTCATCTGCATATCTAATTTTCCAATTTCAAGAAAACGTCCATTAGTTGCCAGACATCGTAAAGAGGCGTACAATTTGTCACCGGTCAATGAATTGAGTATAACATCGACGCCACGGCTTTTAGTCATCATTTTGATTTGATACTCAAAATTGGTGTCTCTCGAACTAAAGATATGATCATCGGCAATGTTGAACTTTTCGATGAGAAATTTTCGTTTAACATCATTACCTACGGTCACGAATATTTCACATCGATAATGTTGACAAATATTTAATGCTGCCTGTCCAACACCGCCGGCAGCCGAATGTATTAGAACAGTATCTTCTGGTTTTAGTTGGCCACGCATTACAAGGGAATAATATGCAGTTGTATAGACAACCGGAATAGTAGCTGCATCTTGTAAACTCCATTTTTCTGGTACAGGCCATATAAATTTTTCAAATGTTGTTATTTTCGTTGCAATTCCTTTAAATGGTATCATTCCCATTATTCTTTCACCCGTATCATTTCGTCGACCAGCAAATTCTAGACCAATCATGCAATCAAACAATGCTGACTCTGGACCTGGTATTATTTTTCCGGTTGCTAAAACAACATCCTATTTTTTATTGAATGAAAGGAACATAGTTTATAGAACATTTAATAATAACAATAATGACTTATTACCTTGAAGTTAAGTGCCGAATAATAAACATCGCAAACAACTTCGTTAAGATTGTTTATTGCTGTTGTTATTGGTTGTTGTTTCGATGATGGCGATTGTATCCAATGAAGACTTGATAAATCTCCAATCATTATTTGGCTTACATAAGCATCCTGTGTTTGTTTGTAAAATTCTTGTTTTTGATCAATGCTTACGAAACGATATGAACCCAAATTTCCATTTGGATGATAAATATTGAATAGTAAATCTTTGTTAATAATTTCTTCTGGTATATTAAAAGTATTGAATTCATTATTACAATAATTTTCCGATAAAGCTAACACTCGTACAATATCTGCCGCTGACGATTCCAATCGTAAACAATTAACAAAACCAATAATTCCCACCTCAAATAGACTAGACACGATCCAAATTCTTGTGTCGTTTAGGTTATCTTTTGATTGTTTTCTAATCAAATCTTGTAATGTTTGAATCCATGAATAATCAAACAAAGAATTAATGTATACAATTTGTATGTTGAATGAATTAGCAGCTGAACGGCGGAATAAATCAATTTTGGTTCGTTGTTTACGAGCAGAAATTGAGGCGATAGGCCAGAATAATTTGTTGTCCTTATTCGATTCACTTGTACATAGATAATCATCGAATATCTTATCCAAATTAAAGTCATTTTCTTCATTGTTTAGTTGATTACAGTGATTTTTTGAAAAGAAATGCAAAACAAATCCAAATGGTTTCAATATTGTCCATAAGGATTTAAATGTTTTTATCATTGTCCAAAAATGTATGGTTTTATCATTAATTTGTAGTATAATTAAATCGAAATTCATCTGATCAAATGAATTTAAAAATTCCATTGTTTCAAGATTCCATTCAATTGTTTTGAAATTAAAGCCATCATTTGTTTGTGGAATCTCTGTCGACGAATGTCTGGTTGCAATATATTCCAATTGGAATTTATGTCCAACATTCTTTTTGATAAATCCACTGATAATTGTGAATAAAAGTTTATCATTCGGACAAATTTCCAAGATTTTTAATTTCGCTTGTTGTTGCAAATTTTCAGCAATTAATTCCAAAATAGGTCTAACGAATAATTCATTCTCGAGCAATTCTTGATCGATTTGTTGTAAAGTTTCGGCATAAAAATCGTCGAATTCTTGATTAAATGGAATGAATTGATATTTTTCAAGCACCAAGTTAGCCGTATCATTTTTACGTGGAATGTTAACTGGTATTAGACCTTCAATTTCTATACCTTTTGTTACTAAAATTTGATTGGATAAATCAAACTTTACATTAAACATTGCTTGTTTTTCAGTTTCAATTGTTTCAGAATCATTCGTAAATTTCATTATTTCAAATGCTATTGAATCTTCTTCGTTATTGATTTTTTTCACATCTTCTTGTGCAATAATTGTTGTATGATCACGAGTGACGTTACGAAAATAACAAAATTCTTTTTGGAATCGTTTCTCAGAATCAATTTGATTGGTATATTCTTCTTTTGCCTTTCTTATCGAATCAAATAATATGATCGGATCACATTTGAATGAATTGATTTGAACAGGTATGAATAATGATCTTATTGGCATTGATAATAGTGCTAAATGTAGTGCAGAATCAACAAAACTGATCCATTGACCTGTCCATTTGAGACGTCCATTTTTGCCATCACCTTTGGCTTTTATTAGGCCTTGAAATGCTGGTCCATAATCATAACCTCGAACTCGAAGTTCTTTATAGATTTCATTATTGTTCAGCATTGATTCACAATCGATTTCCGATTCAAGTTCATCATCATTTTGATGGCGAAGAAATTCTGATTGATTATGATTAAGTCGAGCAAACACATGACCTTTGCAAACAAGAATATTGTTTTCACAGAGAACAAATTCACCGGTTACATCAATAATTTGAACAATAAACTTGACTGGTTTAATTTCATTGAGAAATGTTGGACGATGGATTCTTATGTTTTCAAAATGAACAGGAACTTTGTGCCAAGGTTGACCGATTTTGGTTGCCATAGCTCGCCATACAATCATCAAATACCCGGTCAATGGAAATACAACACGACCATCAATGGTATGATCTTTAAGAAAACGCAAATCCGAATCGACAATCGATACTCGAAACCAGTAATTGGCAGCGGTTGAAAAGTTATGATATTCTGGATATTTTTTAATTTCATGTTCTCGGCTATGGTCCCATTTGATTAATGAACTAATTGATTGAGTATTACGAGCAACTGGCCATTGTACTTTTGGATAAAGATTTTCAATACTTGGATTAAATCCAAACGTATAGATTTTGCCAATCGAACTGAGTAAATGAATCAATTGATCAGGTTCATCTTTTTTCATTAGACTAATATAGTTGATATCTTTGTAGAATCGTTTGAATATCGAATTAAATAAAGAATGTGGAGCCACTTCAATGCATAAAGATTTTTTCGGTATATGTGCCATGCCTTCTTCAAAATAAACTGGTCTTTGAAGATTATTGACAAAATATTGGCCTGTTGCATATTGTACATTTTGATCTTCATGATGAATATCGGCAGGAATCGATGTAGCAATCCAATTGTTGCTTCGTTTTTTTGGTTCAGTAATTACGGTGTCAAGTTTCTGTAACATTTTTGTTGCAACTTTTTCCATTTGAATGCTATGATATGGATAATCACCACCGGCTACTTCTCTTACAAAAATGTTTTCGGATTTTAATTGTTCAATGAATTTGATCATCGGTTCATAAAGGCCAGAAATTGTGACAGAATTTCTTCCATTATGACATGCAACATAAACACCTTCTGGACAAATTTTTTCCAATTCTGCAACAGTTATTCCTACGGCGGCCATTAAACCTTTTGGAAGATATGATTTAGCATCTTGAACAGTTTTACCACGCCAATAAGATGTAAGTAAAGCTTGTTCTGCTGTAAGACAACCATCAGCATAGGCACATGCAATTTCTCCGAATGAATGTCCAATATAGCCACTGATTGGTAGTTGTAATGTTTTTAGCACATCATACAACGCTATTTGCATCGATGTTATTGATACAAACGAATTAACTGTACGATTATCATTATCTGTTTGAAAATCTTCCAAAACCAATTTCATCAAATCGATATTAAATGGTTTTAATAACTGAGAACTATTGCTAATGGATTTAGCAAACGTTTCTAATCGCATTAATTGTTCCCCCATACCGATCCATTGAGATCCCATTCCAGTAAATACAAGCCATAATTGTGGAATTTGTTGTTGGCCGGCAGTTTCGATTGTTGGCAGATATTCCAATTGATTTTCTTCATTTTTTCTTATAATCATATAACCACGATATGGAAAATTTGCTGAACCTTTGATCAGTGTTGTTTTCATCGAATCATTTAACAATGCTAAGAAATCACAATTAACTTTTTTCGGATTTTTTTCAATAAAATCAAAAATATATTGTACTGCTTCTTTCGTACGACCACAAACATTAACTAATCTTGGAATCACATTAACAATATTGAATTGATTATCATCAATTTCTTTTGGGTTGATTTTCAGCAAAGCATGAGCATTAACACCACCAACACCGAAAGAATTGACTCCGATGATTTTACCATTGAATAATTGATTTTGCACAACTGGTTCGATTGTTCTATGAAGACTTTCAATCTCGGGTCGAGGTTCATTATAATGCAAATTTGCTGGAATTAATTTGTGTTCGAATATTATTATTGCTTTGGCCACTGAACATAATCCTGATGCACCTTCAGTATGTCCCATATTGCTTTTCACAGCTCCCATCAATAATTTATCCTAAAATAAAGTAGATATAATAAAAGAAAAAAAAACTAAAAATATTCATGAATCTTTACTTTACGATTTTTGCAATAAGCTTCCGAAACTGCTTTTGTTTCTTGTGGATCACCAACATTTGTTCCAGTACCATGAGATTCAAAATAATCAATTTCTTCAGGCAAAACACCAGCTTCTTGAAACGTTTCAATCATTAGATTTCTTTGTCGAAGCCAAAATGGTGCGAATAAACCGATAGTTTTAAAACCATCAGTATTGGTTTTTGCATGCAAAATAGTTGCATAAATTCGTTTGGCTTGACTACGGCGCATCAAAAACAATGAACCAACTGTTTCGGAACGAACAAATCCATCGGCATTTTTATCAAATACTTTACATTTACCATCATCCGATAGTAAACCCAATGAATGATAGACATAGCTTGAATATGGAGCTAAACAGATATTGCTACTTGCTACAATCGCCATTTCACAGATTCCATTACGTAAATCTTGAACTGCATTAGCCAGTGCAACCATACTTGACGAACAAGCCGTATCGATGACAGTACTTGGCCCATTAAAATCGAATAAAAATGAAATTCGATTAGCAAGCAAAGCTTTTGCAGTACCATATACCCAGAATGCAGCATCTTTAGCTCGAATGTCGCTAAAATCATCCTGTGGTATAGCTTCAGCGTTCGCTATTAAATGAATAAATTATTCAATAGACCGGAAAAATGGGAGAAAATCAAATCAATCAAACATACCGACAGTATTAATGCCAACATAAACACCAGTTTTTGTTCCACGAATTTCTTGTGGTGGAATACCAGCATCAGCAATTGCTTCATAAGTTGTCTCCAATATGATTCGTGATCCTGGCTCCATAGTATCAGCCAGAATCGGTATTGTACAAAAATATGAATTATCGAAATGTTCAAGATTTTTTATTTTACCACTACGAGAAGTTTGATCATTATACAATCCTTTACAAGAACGTAAATGTAAGAAAAATAAGACCAATTTAAATAAGCGAAATGAAATGAATAAAACATATAAGACACACCAATGGGCCATCGACGTTCATCACGGGTGACCATATCCACATGGTCAATCAAATTATTAGCCAATTCATCTAGATTATCCGATTCAGGAAATCGACCACCAATACCACTAATAACAATATCATCATCAATTGGCCATGATTTTTTATTACAATTTGGCCAAGTTGAATCAATAGTTGAATCATCCATGTTGAATAAATGTTTATTAACAAATGAATTCAACAAACAAACTAAATCATCACCAAAAATCAAATTCGATCAAACTTTATTGAAATTAAATTTTTTATAAAAAAGAAATCAAATGATCATCATCATGAATGGAGAAAAGACAAAACTTGTTTCCCTTAACAAAAGATTGATTCCATGAAAATTGATTCACTCTGATAATCAACAATCAAATTAATTATTGAATTCAGAAAAAAATAATTTGTTACACTTCAATAAATGATTTAATTAGAACAATGGCTTTTGTTTTGTTCATTCAAATTCATTGTTGTCGAATGAACTTAAAAATAATCAACAACAAATTAAATAGCCGAAACAAAAGTTTCATGACCCTAAATAGGTTATATTTATATATTTATATTTTAAAAAAAGATTGCATAACACACACACACACACACATCTTAAGTTATGATTGAATCATTGTTCATAACTTGATTTTTTCATTTATTTATTAAAATCTTTTATTTTTATTATTATTATTATTATCATTAATATATAATTATCATCCTGTTAAAATATTTATTTATTTATATATAGTAATTATGACCTTATTTTTTTTGAAATTTCTTTATCTGTTTATGTGAATCGAGTGTTCAATAACCGTATGAATTTATATAATGATAATAAAAAGTGTGAAAGCAAAAAAAAAAATTAACAATAAAAACGTGAAGAAAAACAAATAGAGAATAGAGAATTTTTGTTTGTTTGTTTGTTTGTTTATTTGAAAATATTTGAAAACAAGAAAAATTTAATTAATATTTGTATCAAAGTTCTTTTGAATTCATGAATTTTGTTGTTGTTGTTGTTGTTGTTGAATGTAAAATTCTACAATTATATGCATTCCATGATTTTTTCCCATAATGAATATTGGCAATTTATTCTTTTCTGCATTTAGGCTTTGGCTATACATATTTTTTGTGATAATCGTTTCAATCGTCTATCTGTTTTTGAGATAGAAAACAGAATTTGTATACGAAAAAAGAATCTCAATGAAAATGAAATCATTAAAAAGATATAACAAATTTTTCGAGTCTATTATTCATTTATTTTTTGACTTCTTTTCGTATTATGATTATTGTGTGCCTTTTTTTCAGTTTTGTTTGTTTGTTTGTTTCAGGCATGGTATTTAATAGAAGAAAATTTTGAGAATATTAACATAAAGTTGTTTCTATAATAATAGAACAAAAAACCTTTTCATCATTCAAATATAATTAACACAGGAAAAAAAGTCGATAAAAATTATGCCCAATAAAAAGAAAAAGAAAAAACAATAATTATACGTAAGTAAACGATCCAATCAATAATCGTATTGGTAAAATGGATAAAATTATTGAATTATTTTTTATAACAAATATTGTTTAAATACATGTCAATTGTTTTTTTATTTTTGTCATTTTTCATTCAGTCTATGTTCATTGAATATTTCAGCTATTTTTGTTTCGATTGTATGTATGGTTAGAGTTGAGTAAATATATAAACTGTAAAATCTTTATTGTTTTTTCTCTTCTTTTCTTTTTTTTGAAAAATAAACAGAAAAATTCGAAATTAGAATCAACAATTAACAATAAGTGGTTTGATTACATTGAAAATTGATTAATTTGAAATTAAAATCAATTATCCATTATAATGTTCATATTACAAATGAATGTGTATATGTGTAAGTGTATTATGAGAATTTAAAATTTCCTTTTTTTTACTTGTTTTGACTGGATTTTGTGTGTGTGTGTGCTTTCTTAAACAAAAATCATTGAATATTTCGGCAATCATAAGGATGATGATGATGATGATGAATTATTGACATTAGGATATTAATCATCATCAACGAGACTTAATGTTGTTAGTAGCCATAAAATTATATATTTGAAAAAAATCGTAATAAAAAAAAGGAAATAAAATTTCCACCGGTAACGAATTGTTTCAGAAAAAAAATTTGCGCGTGAGAAACATTGAAGATGATGATGATGATGATGATTTAGATTGGCCAATATATATCAATAGTAGTAATAATAACAATAACGAAGTTGGAAAAAGAAAGAAATGTTGTTGTTTTTTGTTTGTCTACCGGAATACACAATTGAATTCATTGTGAAGATGTATTTTATCACCAATTAATAGGGTGTATATATGTATGATGATGTGATGTTGCATCACAATGGATGGACATGAAGATTTGAGTTAAATCCAATCCAAATTGCAATAAAAATGTAATACATCAATTTCAGTTTTCATCGTAATTTTTCTTTTTTTTTATACAATAATGATAACGATTGATGATGAGGAAATTAAATCAAGAAAAAAACAAAACAAAGAAAAAAACATGCGAATAAAATGTTGCGGCTGATTTGAGATGATGATGATGATGATGATATAATGATGAATTTACGATGAAAAAAATTGATACTCGTTCTTTGAACAAGATAGAAAAAAAATTGGATGAAAATCGATGTGAAATGAAGAAAAAGATTATTTCGAGATGATGATGATGTTCATTTCATTCTGTAGATCGTTGTTCGTTTCCGTTTTATCAATTCTTAACACATCTATATTTCCATACAAATAATACATACAATAATCTTAATTTTTTTAAAAAATAATCCATTTAGTTTACTTGAGTAATAGAGGCAACGTTAGAGTATTGAACATGATCCTAAACAACTACAACATCCACTGCTTCTATCTTTGCTTTTCGGACAAATATCTACATTTGACAATGAAAATTGAAAAAATTTAATTAATTGATTTGCAATTTTGAAAAAAATAACCTTGTGAATTGACTTTAGGCAGATGTTCTCTGGGCACTAGATGCATAACTGTCGTTTTGCCTAATGGTAATTGTAAAACTGTGGCCAAAGTTTTTGATAATTTCATAATCGAAATATGAATTTGGAAAAAAACGATGAAAATGAAAACAAATTCAACATTATTGATAATAAATCAAAATACTCACTTCCTAATGTTACATTTCCATGCAGAAATCTGCCTTGAAAAATTAATCTTAATATTTCCGGTTTTGGTACAGCTTGATCGGCCCAATCTAAAGTAAAATTTGAATATTAAAAAACAATAATTAAAAATAATGAAAATAACTATTTAAAGAGAAAAATATAAATACCGCTAGGCCAATGATTGAAAACATATTGAGCTATATCTGCAGCCGAATCACTTGGTCTATATGATGTTAATTAAAAATGATGGTGAAAAGAAAATTATAAAAAAAAGATTTAACGATAACGAAAATATAACTTACGAGAATATAAAATCTTTTGCTTTACCACTTTCACCATATGCTGGCATTATTAAACGTAAATTAATCTAGAATTAGTGAACGATAAAAAAAACAAAAAGGATTAATTAAGAACTTTTCTCTTAATTATAAAAGAAACCTTGAATTGATCATTTACCTTATCCGACGGTATTGTGTCGGCCATTTTTGTTTTTCTTAGCCTTGTTTACGCCAATTTCTAAGGCCAAATTTTCAATGTGAAGAATATTCAGGGGAATTTTCCCGAATATGATTAATGAAAAGATTCTTGAAGAAATCGAAATTGATTGTTGATGCAAATTCTTAATCCAGTTATTTTTCCAATTTTAAAACTAATGACTGCTATACACAAAAAAAAAGACAAACAAAAGGAAAATATTATGAATTTTGTGGAAAAAAAACAAAATATACGATGATCAAGATGAAGATGAAGATGATGTTGATTGGAGAAAAAAAGGGCAGACAGGTAATCTGAAGTTTCAACAAAAAGAAAAATTGTCATCAAATACACAAAGAGGAAATAACTTTTCAAAGAAATGTAGAAAAAGAGGAAATTTTCTCATTTTGTCAAACTTGTTATGAATTCGAAGAAAAATATACAGTATAGATTTTCTTTTTTCCTTCCAATTTGAATTTCACATTTTTATTTAACATGAAAAACATAAAGCACTGAACTAACTCACACACATTATTCTACAAGTATAATCCAATACATTCCGGTACATTTAGATAGATCAACAAGAGAAGAAAAAAACGATAGAGAGAGAAAGAAACAAAAAAAAAATATTGAAACAATGGCACCAATTTTTTGTTGGTTTGTTTGATCTGAAACAGAAATACTCTAACAACAACAACAACAAATACAACAGTTCATCCAATTGTTTGTATGTTCGGTCAAACGGAAACACTACTTAAATAACATAGAGAAAAATACAGAAGAAATAACTACAACAACAACAACAAAAAATTAATTTATCTTCAGAGTTTTGTAGTTTTAGGTTTCAATCTAACTGGTACATTATTAATTTGTTTATTTGTTCATATTGTATGAAATGACATACATAAATAGGTAACGCGTGTGTCCGGTTATTTAAATATTGTTATCCCGTTATTTATCTCTCTCTCTCTCTCTATACAAACAAACAATCAAACAAAAAACAATTTCTACCTGCAATAACACAAATATAATTGTTGATGTTTGTTTCAATTACCATTGAAATTGTTGTTATTGTTTAAATTAGAACAATGTCATGTTGACAACAGAAGATATTTCATTGAATAAACAGATAAAACAATAAGACATTCATTCAAACCGGCATTTCATATAGAGTCATTCCAAAACAAACAAAATCTACCATTAATAATTTCGGTCAAAAAAGAAATTATTCCTCTTTCAACAATCAAAGAATCTAAAACAACCAACAAATGAGTGAATGAGAAAAAAAATGACTAATTAATTACAAATAAAACAATAGTGAAAAAAAAACAAAATTATTATAAATTGCTGACCGGATAAATTAAAAAAAAATTGAGGACTGTTTTTTTCCTTTGACAATCAATTATGGATATAAAAACACTGCGGACAAACATGAAATAATATGAATAAATTGATTCAACTTGTATGTTTCAGGAATTCACACCTTGAAATTATATGAATTTTATACAGAAAAATGAGATTGAATAGCACATAGTAACTATTGTAAATAATTACTAGAAAAACAAAACAAAAAAAAAATATTTATAATTATTTATGATTTGGGTCTAGGACACTAATAGAAACGATATACAAACGTTATACATGCACATTGCACTTGGTTTCATCGGAGGAAACAAAAAAAAAAAAGAGCAAGAGAGACAGACAAAATAGAGAAAGTGAACAACAACAACAACAGAGCAAATGAAAAACCGATTTTTATATTCTTTTTTTTCTTCTTTCTTGAAGATGATGATGATGATGGCAATGACCAATAATGTCAAAGATATTTTATAAAAAAAAGAAAAGAGAATAAAATTTGTCTGCTATAGATATCATTGAAATAATGAATACAAAAAACATGAACAAAAATGACCATCATCGTTGTTTTTTTTCCTTTTCAATTCATGATCAAATTGATAATTATAATTTTTTATTTTGTATAATAAGAGAAAAAACTTGAAAAATCATTATACATCCTTGTTTTTTTTCATCATTTCACATATTGTTTCATTGTTACGAAAACATTTTGTTTTCATTTGAATGAATCAAATGTTCAAACGCTAATGATTATGATTAACAACAACAACAAAAAAACAATGATGGGTTAATTAAGTAATAAATTATATATATTTTTTTTGAATAGAAATTTTAAATACGATGAAATTTAACATTGCAATTTCTTGAATAATTATCTGTTGGGAATATGAAATGTTTCTGTTTTTTTTTTGCCAATAATTATTCTCGATAACAACAACAAGAAAATACAACGAAAACTTTGCCGATCGAATGGAATTTTTTTTCTTGAACTGAATTTGGTAAACAAAACAAAAAAAAAATATTGTTGCCATGCCGAAAAAAAACTAAACAAGACGATGAAGGTAAAGATGAAATAAAGAATCGGGTCAAACATATATAGAACATAACATAGATAAGTAAACATAAAATCGATAAAACCTTGTTGATCAATAAGAAGGGAAAAAAACAAAGTAAGATTATTAACGAAAACTAAATAATTTGTAAATTGAATCGTTAGTTTATTTATTTGTTTTTGGTGTTTAATGTTGTGAAATTCACAATGATCATAATGGAAACGAATGGCAATATTTCAAAAACAAAAAATAAAATAAAAAATAAACCAATAATTAATATCATTGTAAATATTATTTTTTGTTCATTTCATCAAATGATAAAAATAATTCAGATCAACAACAATGATGAGGTTGTAATTTTTTTTTGTAGCTGTTGTTCTATTTCTAAAATATTCAAAAATTTAAATGAGAATCGACAACAACAAGAGCGATTATTTAGATCAATGAATTGACAAACTAATAGATTAGAATAAAACCTGTTGTATAAAATGTGAAATATTTAAAAAAATGATTATTCATCATGTCGTCAATGATTAATAAGAATTTTGTTTTGTTTTGTTTTGTTTCGTTTCTATTCATTTCATAAATTATTTTTAACGCACGTTAATGGATAATGAAAGAAATAAACAACAACAACACCACAGATAAACACATTTATTGTTGATTTGACGGGAAGTTTTAACGATGAACGGCAGAAATACAAGAAATAAAATGATTGAAAAAAAAGGGAAATCAAAATATCAACAACAAAAAAAATGACGGTCTAGATTTTTGTTTTCGTTTTGCATTTTGTTTTCATTCATTCACACTCAAAATGACATTTTCAAATTAAATTAATTTCATTTAGGGAAGAAGATTTTTTCAAAAAAAAAAAAGAATTTTCAATCAAAATTCTTTTCGCATTGAAAAAACTTCGAACTTGTCATTCAAATAACAAAAGTAAATTAAACAGTAAAAAATCCATAAACAAAAACCAAAATTCAAACAAAATTGTCAACACCGATCAAAATTTATAAGGAAACCCACACATATCGAAAAAAAACCCATAACTATACTATTTTAGTTGAATCGATTAGATTTTTGTTTTTGATTCTTAAGATTAATATGAAAAAAAAATTTTTTCTTTTTGGATAATAATATTATAAAAGAGAATGAAAAATTTTCATACATTCGTTACTAATTTAAGATTATCATCATCATATATTTTTCACTATTTATGATATTCATCATCATCAACAACAAAATGAAAAAAATAATCCTAAAAGAAATCAAATTATAAAACATGGTAAATATTGACATTTAAGAAGAAAAAAAAAATTATTTTTCTTTTGAATAAATAGAATATCATTCGGATGTTGTTGTTGAAATGATTTTATTATTTTGGTTGGCTGATTGATTATAAATTTTATATATCTCGAACATTCTAGACATTACACAATCATCATCATAAATACATACAATAAATACATTTATTGAAACGTGATTATTAAAGAAAGAAAGGATAATAAAAATAAATAAATAAAATTTCTTATAATTTAATTTTCTCTATTTTCATTGATTGATTGATGATATTAGAAATATCTATATCATAATCACATCATTATTATCATCATATAGATTCACAAATACACACGATTGATTGATTGATTAATTGATTATTGGATGTAATCATTTTGTTTATTCATTTTTTTCTCTCTCACTCTGTGTGTGTGTGTGTGTTGCAATCTTTGCAATCAATGATGCTACTAATGTGGATGATGATAATAATAGCTAGGAAACAAAAATGTATCCACAAAAAAAACGAATGTGAAATGAACATGAAATTTGAAAAAATAATCCAAATCGGACCCCTTTTTTTCTTGATTCAATTTTTTTTTTCTTCGAGCACGAAAGAAATTGGAAAAAATATTTACATCCGTAGTATATGTGGCAATTCGATAAACAGCCCACATTATCATCATCATCATCATTATCGATACATTTAACATCCGGAAAATTAATGATAATGGTTTAACATAAAAAAAGGAAATAAAATTTATTAAAAAGGAAATCATTTTATTTTAATGTTTATTTAGAAATATAAGAAATAATACCAGTTTAAAGAAAAATTATTGATAAAATGGTTGATTAAATCACAAGTCAAAAATGAATTTCACAGATTATAAGAAAATATAACACACACTGATGTGACACCGAATTTGAATTATTTTCAACAACAACAAAAAAACAAACAAACAAATACCAAGAAGAATATGATGGAAAAAACACATTTGAAATTGACTTTTATCAAAAACAAATACAAATTCTTTGATTCTATTTACTAACAAGATTTCGTTTTTTTTTTGCTGTTGTTTTGTTTTTGCCTGTTTGTTTTTCGAAAAAAAAATTTTAGTGAAATGTGCTTTAGTTGAAAGTTTTGATAAAAGATTTTATTTTTGTCAAAAAAATACGAATAATTTTCTTTTATCCAGTTCGATATATCACACAAACAAACAATGTATAATAAATAATTGAAAATTTTCAGATCGTTTTGTTTATCATTCAAACAAAAAGTTTTACTTATAGATTTCGTTCATTTATTCTATTTGGTAAAAGATTATTATTATTATTATTATTATTGGGTATATTTTTGCTGGATAGATGGATAATGCGCATAGAAACAAGAAGAAGAATAAAATGAAAGAAAAGCAAGAATTTTATTCTTCTTCTTCTTCTTCATCAACATTTTAGTTTCTTTATCTACTAAATTCACAATTGTCGTAGTAGTTGATGATTATTCTATTGAAAATTATATTATTTGTTATACTTGAATACTGGTAGTAGTATTTAGTGATTCAAAATATATATCATTCAAAATTGCCTTGAATGATTTATACAACGTCGAAAAGAATATATTTGGCCTAGAATTTTTTTTTGGTTTTGTTTATGATTCTTTCAATTATTATGATAGGAAAAAGAAGAAAAAAAAACAAGAAAAATCAGGCGCCAGCGCAATGATTGTGTAATCTCAAAATGAAAAAAAAAATTTACTTTATGTGGGTGATTGTTTTTTTTCACTGGTTTTTCGAATGACGTCTAACATCATCATTGAAAAGCTAGGTCGATGATTTAATGATAACGGTTAGCTTTGTATATTTATTACATGAAAAAAACAAGGACTAAACTAACCTATACGATAGATTTTGAACTCATTTTTTTAGGGAATGGGTGTGTGCATGTAGGGTGGGGATGATGGTATTAATTTTTATATATCTGATTTCGTGGTCATCTTAGTTGTTGTTGTAATTCACTTGTCAGTCGATTGGTTGGCGTCTTGCATACAAATGGGATGTGAATGTTATTAACAACAACAACAACGAAATTCTTTAGCCACAAATTCACTATAGGCGTCAAGGCGAGAGAGAGAGAAAAATGCCAACCAGGTTTGACTTTATTAACACACAAATATATACAAAATGAAACGCACAGTGGCAAAAACAAAAAGAAAAAGAAAAGATAACTGTATACATACGGAATATAAGAGAATTTCAAAAGTATACAGCATCAAAATAGAATTATATGCACAAAATTTTAGATTTCATATTTACAACTAGCACATATAAATTCTGTTACCGAATCATTTGATGAAAAATGATATTTGTAAATTCGAAAAAAATATAATGAAATAATTTCATTAATTGTTGATGTTAATATGAAATTCTTTTAACAACAAACAAAAAAACTAAAATTTTCATTACAAGATGATCATGTGAAGATGATTATTTTATTATTTAGAAAATAAAATAATCATTAATCAAAAAAATCGATTAATTAAAAAATCGATATTCTATGATCTAATCACATTTATACAATAATTAAAATGCTGATCGAATTTGATTTTCATTTCATTTATTGTTGAAATTGGCAGAAATTCTTATTTTTTCTTAAAAACAAAATTTTCGATTTTCGATTGCTTGGGACAGACAAACAAACAAACAAAAAATTATGTAAACAAATTTTTTTTTTAATGTAAAATTTTAAAATATTCTTATATACAAACAAGATATACATACGAGATTACATAATTCATAATTTTTTGAACAAAAAAAAAACAACAACAACAAATGATGAGTCAAAAACCAAACGAAATGATATACACACAATGGAACAACAATATACATTGCAAATGTATAAAGTGGACTACACAATTTCCAGTTTATTTTTTTTATTTTTTCCTAAATAAATATCCATTATTGAAAGAAGAAGAGAAGATTTGTGTATTCGAACATCGTATACTACTACCAATCTTTCATTGATCATAACCACTACCTTGTTTTTTTTGTATCCTATAGTTAGGATATTTGCATTCTTTTTTTTTGTTGTTGTTGGAATTGTGTGGATCTATTCATCGATATGGTGATGATAAAATCCAAAAAAAAAAAACAAACATATTGCAGGCATGTTTTTGGTGTTTTTTATTTCTTCACCAAATTTTTCTGTTCATTCTTTATATTTTATTATGATGTCATGATGATGATGATGATCGTATCCTGTTATTATTGAAATTTCCTATATTTTTTTGTTCTCAAAATATATTATCAATTTCATTCAATTCATCATCATTATTATTATTATCATCATCATTCTCTTTCGTATGACATTTGATTTATTTTCATTGACATTCATTTATTTAAAAAGAAGGGAGAAAAATAAAAATGTAAAGTTAAAAAAAACGAGCTAAATAAGAAATCAGAATTAATTAATCTCTTTTAGAAGCAAAATGTAGTAGTTTAAGTTTTTTGTTTTGTTTGTTGTTTTCTTTTTTCTTCATTAATTCAAAATACTTAGTTATTCAATATCTACGTTTGTAGATAGATTTGAATGGTAAAAAATGTAAATGTCAACAACGTCAAAATCAAGGTTTTTTTTTGCATTGGTTGGATGCCTTGATGCTAATAACGATTGTTGTGTGAATGATGTTTTCGGTGATTTAATAAGTGTGTTATAAGTTTGTAAGTTTTTTTTCTTAATGTAAATGCTCGATTATTTTGACTAAAATTTTTTTTTTCATCGACATAATCGCCTGATTTTTTTTTGATAAATTTAATCATTTTGTTTGTTTTTCTTTTAATAGGTGACAATATGACAAAAATTAAATATGATTATGCTGAAATGTCCGAAATAATACCCGGATTATATCTAAGTTCAATTGATTCGGCTCTTGATTCACAAACATTAACATCATATTCAATTAAAACAATTGTATCGGTACTATCAAATCTACCGAAATTCAATCGAATTGATTCGATCGATTATTATTATATCGAATTAGATGATGACGAACAACAGGATTTACTTGTACATCTGGATCAAACATTTCAAATTATTGAACAATCATTGAAAAATAATCGTAATGTTCTTGTACATTGTGCATTGGGAGTTTCACGTAGTTCAGCTACCGTAATGGCCTATCTGATGTGTAGCCAAAAATCTTCATCATTTAATGATGCATATCGTTTAGTGAAATCAAAACGTACTATAATTGGGCCAAATTTTGGTTTCCGTCGACAATTAGCTTTATATGAAAAACTTGATTGTGATTTATCTATGACAAATATCTGGATGAGACGTTACATTTTTAATCGTTTGGTTCATTCATACTCGGACTCATATTATGATCATCAACAACCAATTCATTGTCAATCACGTAAAGCAAAAAATTTTTCTCATTATTTAAAAATGTTTCAAGGATATTTTGAACAACAACAACAACAAAGCCAATCGATTGTTTGTCAACCAAATTTTGTCTATTACAAATGTAAATCATGTCGATCAATTTTATTCAATCAAAATGATCTTATTGATCATGATAATAATGGTGAATATAGTAATAATGATACTCATAAAAAAATTACAAATCATCATCATCATCATCATGGATCAAATAAATCAATTGATGGCACAATATACATTATGATTGTCAAATGGATTGCCGATGATTTGTTAAAATATTTTGATTCGTTAAAAAAATCAGGTAAAATTGATTGCCCCAAATGCCAAACTAAATTAGGTCGTTTTGAATGGAATCGACCATATAATTATCGCCGTTATACATATACAGTACAATATGATGATTGTCAATGGATGAATGAAGTGATTGTACCATTAGTATTATCGATTACACAATCAAAAATTGATACATACATTGTTCAATGATGACTTAATTTGTTAAAAAATTATCCTCTTTTTTTTTGTTTTGATAAAACGATTTTGTTTGATGAAATTTTAAATTAAATCATTTGAAAAAAGATTTTTTATCCGAAATTCGCTTTAAAACCACAAGATGACGCGCAAATCTAAAGCTTTTTCTAAATCAATTTGATTATTTTTTTGGGAACCGCGACGAATTTATCGATTATAATTGATTATAATTGAAACAAAATAAATAATTTTATTAATATTTTGGAATAAATAAATTGAAATTATATTTGTATTTGTGTGTACAAAAATTTGTTCATTTGCCGATTGATCGAATTTGTTTTGTTTTGTTTTTTGTTTCCATGGCAAAAAACCATAAAGTATTACTGTCGAATATTACCATTGGCCAATAATCGGCCAACATCGAATCCCGGTGCATATAGTTCAATCAATTGACAATGAATCTTTACATGTATAGCAGGATCATTAACAATTTCTCCATCACAATTCCATACGCTTGAACTTAATACACAACGTTTTTTATTATTCGATTGTTTTTGTCGTTGAATTTTGGATGATTTTTTTGTAACACGATTAACATCCATATCATTATTAATATTGGATTCATTACCATATTCATCTTCGAATGTATCGAAAAAATCACAATCAACAGATTTTTCAAACATATATCCTTTTCGTTTATGTGTTGGTTCAACAATTGGATTAAATTCAAATTCTCGAACACGATATGAATCTATGAAATTAAATTCAAACTATAAATAAAAAAACAAAAATAATTAGTTATAATTAGATTTTCATTATTAAAAAAACTTATTAATACTTACAGGACTTTTAGTATGAAAGGCTACACTGAACAAATATTTTAGATATTGAAATCTTGAACATTTAGATACAAGTATCAAATCGGCACATCCATTTCCAACGTGTGCCATTGGTGACATACCATATTTGCTCATATGACAACGACCTGATACTATAGCCGAATTGATTGCTAAAAATCGTCCACGTATCGATATACAAGCTAATTTGTAATATGAGAAAGTTTTATTCATTCATCTGAAATTTTATTCAAATAAATATACATACCGGGTGAATCATCAGCACTTAACGTTGCTCTAGATTTAATTCCAGCTTGTTGACATGTTGAACAACTAAATTCAACAACAAAATAACGTAATCATTGAAATTGATCATCACCATCATTATTAATATTATACACTTACTTAATACCACATGGATTATAATCTTTTGGTGAACCATCATTCGGTTCTAAACAGATTTTTATTTCACCACTATAAAGACGATGTTTAAAGAATTTTTTCACGCCAGCCCAATCATAACGTTTTGGTCCCATCCAACGGATTCGTTCAGATTCTTGAATAGTATCACCAAAAAATCCATATCCCATAAATGAAGCCGTATAACGAATTAATTGTTCTTCATCACGATTATGAACAGCACCAACATCAATACTGATTGTACGACCCAAAACAATTGATATAATTGAATGAATAGGATCTTTGTGGCCACATGTTGCATAAACAACGGCATCAGTCGAACCAGCTGGTATAATTCCCAATTTAAGTGTAGGTTTTTTTAACATTGCATCAATATTCTCATAATTGATCTGATTTTCTATTTGTGTACGAATAAGAACACCATTTAATACTTCGCCAAACATACCATCACCACCGATACAGATAATACCATCATATTCATTCAAATCAGTTATTTCATTTAATAAAATATCTTTAGCCTGATCAGCATGTTCAGTTATTATAACATTTGAATTGATACGTGATATATCCAAAATTGGTTTAACTTTATTATCAAATATTTCTATTCCTTTTTTATTTCCACCAAATGGATTGATAAACAATAATAAACGTTTTGGTCGATCAAATGCTTTAATTATTAGATTAAGATAAAAATTCTTATTAATAAACTCATTATGAAAATATTTATCACTTACTTTCTAATGTTGAACGAATTGAATAGGCAATTTCTGTCAATAATCTTGTTTCATGATGAACAGCGATATCATCATCATCATCATTATCATTTGTATTTGATGATAATGGACGATGTTGATCATCATCATGCGAACTAAGTGTCAATAGCTCTAAACGGAATCCACCATTTTTATTGCGTGACGGTAAATCATAAACAGCATAATATACACGTACCATAAATGGAGGCTGTTTTTTAGAAGGATTTATCATTGAATGATGATTTCCTGTTACCATTGATGATGGCAATATTCCTGTCGATGTTGATGATGATTGTTTTTGTAATTTAAGTTCATTTTCAATACAACTACATAATTGTATTGATGATTGACGATGGCTATTTCGACGATAACGTATAGGACATGAACATATCCAAACGGCCATCATATCGGACAATTTTATGGTCACACGTTCTTTGATCAAAAACAAAACAAAAAAATGTTGAAGCGAAAGAAAAAGGATGCAATTTTAATATTTTAATTTGAAAATTGAATCATTGAATAATAATTAGAATTATCCATGAAATTTTTTTCCATCAAATAAAAATCTGTCCAAAGTTGTTGTCCCTGAATTTTTTTATTTCTCATCAAAATAAAATTCAAAAAAAAGACAATCCTTCCAAAGAAAGAATTTTTTCACAATTTTAAACTCGACATTGATTTCCTTTGTACATGCAGAAAAACGCACACAAACTTTTATTCATTGTTCCTCTGTTACAAATTATGAATAATCAATTGAATTATCTATAAATTATTGTTATGTAATCGGAAATAAAAAGTTATGTGATATTCAAATGAAATATATAACAAGAGAAAGAAAAATTATATTATACATTTTAATTCACATTGAAATTTTTAAAAAGGATAAAATTATCTTCAATTATCATTGATAATTTGAATGAAGAGTAAATAGAGAAAAGACAATAGTAAATAGTAAATAAGATATTCGAAATCAACAAGAGGAATCTTTTTCTTGTGCTGTCTACAATCAATTATAACCTCTTTTCATGCTATTAGATGGATCATCATCATTCATTCATTCATTACGTAACATCAAAATGGTCAAAATAACAATGTTTTGTTTTCAAATACATTCAATTTACCTTGAATTTTTTTTATCACTACTACTATTAATAATATTAATTATTATTTTCCTATGGAACGTAAATCAAAAAAACAACATCAAATTACAAGCTCAAACTCACGGTCAAACAAATCTTTAGATGGAACATGGACAAATAATAATTATTTTTATTTCAAAAAAAACTTTCAATGAATTTTGTTGTTCCTGAAACATCAACAGTTAGTTAGCATCATCTCAATGGCATCAATGTATTAATATTTGTTAACTGAATTTTTTTTCTTCATTTATTGATTTTATGTTTCTCATTTTTGTTTGTTTGTTTTTTTTTTCGTTCAATGTTTTAAAGAAAACAGATTTTTATGTTTCGACAAAAAAAATAACTCAATGATAGAAAAAACGTAATTGGCCTTTCTTTCATTACAATTTAAAATTATAATCACCATTATTATTATATAATCACATATAACATCCATTAAATATATATTTTAGCACGATTCGTAGACTCAAATAAAATTCGCTTTAAGCTTTTTTTTTGGGGCTTTTTTTTCAATAACATTCTCTCAAGGAATTTTTTCTTTCTTTTTTGTTGATCCAAAGCATTCTTTACAATTTTGTTGTTTTTTGTTGAATTTCATTAAGTTTTTTGCGATTCAAAAGGACAAGATTCTTTGTTTGTTTTTTTGTTGTTGCTTTTCTGATCTGATAAACTATTTGAATGATTCATTCTAGATGATAGACTAGATTTCGAAATGAATATAAATACATATGTTTAGCGATTTTATTAATTAATCGAACCAAATTGTATCGAGTTTTTAAATACGAACACGTGTGTTTATCGTGTCATTTTTAAAAAAGATTTTTCTTTGCTTCTTCAACAAAAATCCAATTCATAGTGCTATATAAATTGTCAACATATAAATAAATAAATCTAGAGCGAGGACAGCCATTTTCATTTTCATAATATATCATCAAAAACGAATAATAAATAATGTATTTGTCGAAAGAAATACTAAAAAAATTGAAAAATTGAAAAAAATGAATCTGATTAAAAGTTGATCTTTGGATTGAAACAAACAAACAGACAGACAGACATAAAAATATCCAAAAAACAAATAAACTTGTTAAATTGAAATCAAATGGATTTGAAAAACATTTTTTTTTATCCAAATCATCATCGTTTATTCATTCATTCAATATTGACAGTCATCATTCCTTGAACTTTAATTTAATCAGTTAGAGAAACATATTTTTTCTGATCAACGAACTTTATAGAATAGAATAGTAAAATTCTTCCGCGATAACTGAACCATTGTATGACAGTATGTGAGATAGGCAAAAAAAATTGGAACATCATCATCAAACGATATAATGAACAACAATTTTGAAGAAGAAAAAATTCAAAATTTGAAAAAAAAGAAATTTGATAATTTTCGGTCAATTCATTCTTCCTATTTTTTTTTTCATTAAAATTGAAAAACAGAACCAAACAACTCATTCTCATAATACAAATAGACCATTGACATTTTTTTTTGTTGAAAAACACAATTGATTTATGAATTTTTTGTTTTTCGTTTTCTTTTGTTCTCTAACCAACCAACTAATTTCAATTGAATGAATGAATGAATGAATGAATAGATCGATAGACTATCGATCGTATGACAATTCAAATGATAGATATACATCAAGGTCAAATACTTTAAAAAATATATCTAAGAATGATATTTTAGGTGTGTGTTTGTTTGTTTATTTATTTGAATTGATTGAATATCTGTCAATCACAAACTAACAAACAATAAGTAGAAGAAAAAAAAAATGTCAGATGCTGGTGAATGTCGAGGCCATCATCATGAAATATTAGTTTATTTTTTTTTCATTTTGATACATTCATTATTATATAATAAGTATATATAGTTAGTTAATTTATTTATTTAGTATGGCAATGAATATATATTGTTTTTTTTTGTTCATTTTGAATCCAATTTTAGGTGCACAATTTATAATTTGACATAAACATGGTTGATTTACTTTTTTTTTATTTTTGTCATCGATCGTGAAACAAGTAGAAAACAACAACAAAGAAACATTTTTTTTTCGTTTGTACTTTTGTTTTCTATGTATCTTATCGATTATGTCACAAGATCTTTTTTTTTTTGGATAAAAAAGTCATCATAAATTAAAAATTTCTTTTCTCTATAGTATGTTGTTGTTATTGTTCATCTAACCGAATCAAATATTATTGTTTCATAATAATTAATTATAAACTTCATAACCATTTTGATGATTTTGATTTTGATTAAATTCAAATTATTTCACAAACAAACAAATAAATTCAATTGATTTTTTTTAAACATACCATTATTATTGCCTAATGTTGTCGATGTTTGGTTATCCAATTTTTTCGACATTAGTTCAGGTTCAAAAGCCAAATATTCTCGATTATACATGACTAAACAACGTTTATTGTTAACATAAAGGCTAACAAAACAATTATCTGTTTTTGGTTGTGAAAATGGAGTCTTTGATGATGATGATAATGCTCCAATATGGATAGGATTTTTCAAACGATTCTGTTTGATATTGGATTGATCATTTTTCAATTGCTCAATATCATCGTCCGGTTCGAAGGCTGAATTATTTTTTGACGATGATATTGTTAAACCAATTGATGCTGATTTGGGAGATGATGATGATGATGATGATAGCTTTTCTTTTCTCATAACTGATTTATTATTATGGTTATCATGAAGGATTTTTGTTTTTTCAATAATTTTATCGCCAATGATTTCATCAGGAGATTGTTTTGGTTTTTGTTGTGGAACCGTAAACTTGGTTTGATATTGTTTATTCAAATTATTATTATTATTCATTGTTTGATTTTCAATATCATCACGGTCACTATCATCTTGACGATTGGAAAAATCTTCACAAGTAGATGATGATGAATCCGACGACGACGATGATAATGGTGATGATGATGAATAATTTGATGTAGATGATGCATAAGTGGTTGACAATGATGATGATAATAATTGTCGTTTATTGTTAAGATCATCATCAATATTCGATTGTTTTACATGCAAATGATGATGATGAATGTTTGGATGTCTTATCGATGATGGTTCAACATCAATTGTTTTAATCATCATCATTGATGATCGATGTTTCATTTGATTATTGTCATCATAATCATTATTTTCCATATCCGATATCATCACTTTAGAATTTGATGATGTTTTCGATGATGGTGAAGATGATGTTACTTTATTCACCGTATATGAATCGCTTGTTTTACGAAAACCATAAAGAATTGATGAAGACATGATTGACAATTAATTTTAATTTATGTTTTTCTTTTCATGAGGAATAATGATTTAAACAATATATAATAATGTTATTACAAGAAAATTTTGCTTGAGGAAAAAATTCTTATTATTTGCCAATAATCATGTTCATTTCCTTTTACAATAAATATAAAGAAAATAAAGAAAAAAATTTAAAACATGTGAAAATTCAATTCAATTTTTTAAAAACGTATAATTAAATTGATAAAACTACAAAAGGGGTTAAGAAATATTTATAAATAAATAATGAAGATTAGAGATGGATGAGATATTCTGAAAATACTTAATGAACATCATCTAGCATGAAGAAAAGAATTTGTTTGAACATTGTCGATGGTTTATATCATCTGTTAATAATTGATTGAATAGCTTTTCTTTTTTTTTTGGCCACTCTTCAAATCGATTAATGACAATAAGATTCTGTATTCGGTTAAGATGGAAGTGCAAAAAAAAACAACGAAAAAACAATTTCAATAGAACACACAAACATGCAATAACATATAATGATTGATGAAACTTTATTCAATTTCTATAATCTTAAGTTATTCAAATCAACTTCAAATCCATATGATTCAAATGAATTTTGTTTGAAAAGCACAGACAACATATTATTTAGATATTATCTTGATGGTTTTTTTTTCGTTGAATTTTTCTGACGTATTTTTCCTTCTAATAAAAGAAAATCTATCGATAAATCAATATTTATGTTTTTTCAAATAACCACAAAAAAAATCTTGGTTTTTTACAGTTATTTTTTTGCACATTACATCTTAATTACAATCGAATTAAACATTTACGCATCATTACATTCACATACACACACACACACACACACACCTAAACCCGTTTTTTTAACATCATCATTTATCGATGCAATAATTAAATTTGATGAATGGAGCTTGCATTTTAAATTTCATTGAATCATTGGATACCTTGAAATGAATTTTTATTTTGTTTTGGGGAAAAAAAAATTTAAAATTTAAAATAATACCTATGATTTAGTGGCTATTTTTAATGTAGGTGCACAGTTCAAGGCAAATAGTTTTATTACTATTTCTTAAATAATAATGATGATGATGATCATAGATTACTTAAGCTGGTTGTTTATCAAATTTAAATTTATCGATTTTTTTCAATTTGAACACGTTTCGGTGTATAACAATGACAAGTTGTTGAATAAGTTTTTTTATTTTTGTCACACAATTGTTAATTTGCACAATTGTTTGTGATAATTTGAACAAGAAACGAAGGAATTTTTTTTATTGATTTATTATTGTTTTCAATCGTTTTAAAATGAATCAAGTGAGGAAGAGCGGGAGAGAGAGAGAAAAGAGAATTCAAGTAGCTAGTAATAAATTGATTGATTGCTAATCATTAATCATCAAAAAATCAATAATTATTTTTTTCCTGTTTTTGTCAGTTTATATTCATCATCATATTTACATTACAAAAAAAGTTAAAAATCATATACATACCGGAAATTGATTGATTGCCGATGGAATTTCAGAATTTATTATTGAAATTCTGTTCATTTAATAAGATTTTTTTTTAAAATCAATTTCATTCATTTGTCAAGAATTAAATTCAATTAACAATTGGATAAAAATCTCATTGAAAAAAGCAAATGATCATAACGAGAAAAAAATGAAACAAAACGACAAATTGCAATAACCAAAAATTCAATCGAAATAATGTCAAATTATGAAAACTGACAATTTATAATCTAAAAAATTTTCATAATCAACCAACAAAATTTATTTTGTTTTTCCGTTTCAGATTTTCATTATTGTCATTTATTGTTTTTTCAGGCACACATTGTTTTAAAATGACATTTTAAATAGCAAGAACAGAACAAACATACAAAAATTATAAAATTAATTTCGATTTCATTTGAATGTATTCATATTAAATAGAAAACGAGAACAACCGACGACACAATCATTATATATATTGATGATGAACAAACATGATGATGTCAAATGAATACATGATTTTTTTTCGTCTTCGTATTTCATCGTAAAAATACCACATAAACACCACACAAACACACACAAATAATTTGTTCATTCAATATTCTCTTGCCTCGTTGAAATACATTGGCATTCAAACACACACACACACAATTGATCTATACATCTCTTTCAATAGTGAAGAGATCGTTTAGGATCCTTGAATAATTTACGCACACAAATACTAACAAAGTCAAAAAAAAAATTACAAAAGAGAATTTAGTGTTCCACTACTAATAACACATAGAGTGGGGGTGTTTATGGTTGGGGCAAAAATTTTTTATAACTATGGTTTTATATGAATAAAATAAAAACAAAAAACAACAACAAAAATACAATAGTTTTTTTCTTTTTGTTTTGGCTCAATTATTTTTGTTTTGTTTGGACCGGTTGTTCCAACGAACCGCTACATTTTTTTTGTTGTTGTTGAAAAATACATAGTATGTATCATTACTATGTATCGCTATGTGTGTGGGTGGAAGAATGGGTTTTCTGTGTATTGGAATATGAAACGAATTTCAAATGATGATAAAAATTTTCTGCGTTTTTTGTTATAAATGACAATTATAGAATCATTTTGACAGCCATACATTTTTTTTGTCATGCTCCATTTTATTATACAATAATGTGATGATGATCAAGCGCAATGCTGTTGCTTTTTGCGTTATGTTTTTCATTTTTTTCTGACATTTTTTCATTGAATCGAATGAATTTTTCTTGTTTTTTTTTTGTTGTTATTTCCTTTTATTTTTCAATCAAATTACCTACGCAAAAAAATCGAATAATATCCGGTACAATTAATTTTGATTGGTTGTTGTCCACGGATTTATGATTAGCGTTTTTTTTTCATTCGAATTTTGGTAATGGCGTCAGCTCATGACGTAACATTTTCACACTGTTTTTTATTTGAAATTTCAATGGGATATTGTCAAAGATATTATTGGTCAAACAATTCGTTGCTATCCAATTAGTTATATTAAAACTTTGAATTAGAAATATGTCAAATATTGTAAAAGGAAAAAAAAGAATTTTCAATCAAATTGATTAATTGTTGATATTTTCTAGATTCTGTACAATTTTTCTTTACGGTTTCATAGTGATTCGAATGAATGAATGAATATTTCAATTCGAAAAACATTGGATTAGTGTTCAATTTTAAGTATTTCGAAATTTAGCCATGTATTCAAAAAAAAAATGATATTTAGGTCATTATTTTGGTTTTTTTTTTTGTTGAACCACAAAAAAAACGATAATATTTTTGGTAGGATTTTATCGCAATATTTTTAAATACATAATTACGAATCTTAACAATCAGATGTCGCTGTGTACGGTATTTTTTTTATTTAGTAAGTAAATAATAATTAACGACAAGAATAATAAAAATGATGATGATGAATTTTTATTTAATTATTTATTATTAATGATAAAAGATGAACAAATTTAAAAATATTGAAAAAAAGATGATATTCATCATGAATTAAAATGAATATTCCGATACAATAATATAAATCAGAGCTTTACTCATACCACTAAATTTATCATCAGGATAAAGACTTATTGTTAATTCCAAATCAACATCTTGTGGTCCTTGTAATGGTTCAATCAATGCAACAATAATTTGATCAGAACGTGGCCTTCGTAAAATAAAATCTTCACGTCTAGCTGGTCGTACACCATTACGAGATGGTCGTGCCGAATTTAGAGTTAAACTATATTTAACACCCGGTATGGCAAACACTTTACCGCCCAATGAAACCAGATCAAAATATTCCAATGATTTAGGTATTCGTATATTCGATATTATCGATAGATAATTGAATGAATAGGAAATAGGTTTCGATAGATCACGAAATCCCATAACACCATCTTGATGACGTAAACATCTTTAATGCAATAAAATGTTATAACGAAAATTAAATTATTCATATTCATCAAAAAAAACTTACTTTTTATTTTTCATTTCAAAAAAATATCCATCAGGACAGGTAATTGTTATGCAACGATAACTGCCACGAATATTCAAACAAAATTCATTATCATTACAAACTTCATCTTGTTGTTCACATTCATCAATATCACGACAAATACTACCTTCTCTCAATGATTCATAACCGGGTGGACAAATACAACGAAATGAACCGGGCACATTAACACATTTATAATAACATAATGATGATTGTTCCTCTATGTCTATAATATCATTAAAATCATCATTATCATTCATATGATCATCATATTCATCAACATGATTTAATGATGTTTTAAACATTTTGCATTCATCTTCATCAATACAACTAAAGCCATCATTATCAAGTTTATATCCCGAAATACATGAACATTTATATGATCCAATATAATTTTGGCAAAGATGATGACATTTATTCAATGTTCGATTTTGACATTCATCAACATCGATACATTTGATATTATTATAATTCATATTATTATGTTCATCATCCATGTTAGTTATTATCAATGATGATGGTGATATAATTGATTTATCATCTGAAACTTGACGATAACCTTCACGACATTCACAGTGATACGATCCAATTGTATTTATACAACGTTGTGTTTCAGGATATTCACATAATAGTTCATCACCTTGTTCACATTCATCAATGTCTTGACATGTACCATCACGTGTTGAAACAAAGCCATTCTGACATTCACAAGAATAACTACCAAGACGATTTTTACAAATTCTATTTGATGGACATGAATATGATCGTTCGGCACATTCATCAATATCTTCACAGGAATGACCATTTAAACTCATACGATAACCTGAATTACATTTACGGCTACAACGATAACTACCTATAGTATTGGTACATTTTTCATCTATTTTACAAGGGGAATATTCAAGACATTCATTCATGTCTTGGCAACGTTTTTCGGTTTCATTGTAGAAAAAACCTTGTCCACAAACCACAGCTTTACATTCACCTTTAATCATACGTTCACCGAATTTGCATCTATCTAGCTGTTGTATGTTTGGCTTTGTAACGTGTTGATCAACATTTGAATTTTGAATTTTCTTGTCACTACTAAAAAGTTTATTCAGATCGACTTCAACGTTGTTGGCCATTTGATCAGGAATTTTTGGTTTTGTAAATCTAGAGATTGATCGCAAATTTTCACTAGTAGAATCAGATGTTTCCTTTTCTTTTTCATTCATTACACATTTATTTTGATTCGGATCGAATATTTGTCTATCAAGACATTGTTGATGTTTACGGAAATTGTTTCTCCTTGTTGATGTTTGTTGTTGATGAATACATTCGAATGAGCCAATCGTATTGACACAGCGCATTGTCGATGGACAATGACTTAATTTTTGTTCACATTCATCAATATCATCACATTTATTTGTTTGTTGATTCTTAATGAATCCAGCCTATTTGATTTTTAAAAATATTCAATAAAATTTTAATGAAAAATTTCATTCAAAAACTTTATACCTTGCAATGGCAATCATAACTTCCGAGTGTATTATGACAGAATGCATTACTTGGACATGGACCAAGTGTTCGTCGACATTCATCAATATCATCGCAAATATTCAATATTGGATTTCGTGAATATCCTTCCATACAAACAACAGGCATATTTGCTAATGAATAATTATTGATTTTTTTTCGTTCATTTTGATTCAAATAATTTGTATCATTGTTAAATTCATAATAATTAACATTAGAATCAGTTCCATTATCATTGTCATCAAAATCTGCAATAATATTTGATGTTTGTTTAACAATATTAGGCCTACATTTATATGATCCGGGAAGATTCACACAGATATTCCAAGAAAGATCACAATTATGTTGTCCAATACGACATTCATCAATATCTTCGCAAGAAGCACTGAATCGTATGTAATGATAACCTTTAGGACATAGTGACGCTGGTGAATATTCTTCAGTTTTATTTTTTATTAATAATTCTGAAATGGGCGCCAAAAATACTGATGATGTATTATGTGTCGAAATCATACGTAAAGTTATATTTGGTTTTTCTTCACAACTAAATGAACCAATATTATTTTCACAATTTTCATTTAGATAATCACAATTATTTATTCCTTCACGACATTCATCAATATCACGACAGCCAGTATCAAAATCAGTACTTGCACCTAAACGTCGAAATCCTTTTGGACATTCAAGTCCTACTTGGATACATTTCCATGATCCAGGTATGTTCATACAAACCTGATAACGATGATTACAATCATGTGTTCCTTGTGCACATTCATCAATATCTATGTAAAATGGATTATCGTAATAAAATTGATAAAAATTTATGGAAAATTTCTCTCTTTATTACTCTCCCTTAAGTTTTTAAAATTTGAAATAAATCATACAAACCTTTACATTGATTATAACTATAGTTGAAATAGAAACCATATGAACATTCATCATGATTACCAATTATATCGGGCTGTACAAGACCATCAGTCATTTTTGGTAAACATTGATAACCACCTTCAGTATTTGAACACATTTCATATGCAATATTACAGCCATGTGTTGATTCTTGACATTCATCATTATCAATACAACTTTTTTGATCATCATCCAGATGATATCCTTCCCAACATGAACATTTTATATGATTATTACTACCATCATTTGATTCATGACAGCGATGAGCACATGGTGCTGGACGAAGATGACACCAACGTATACTGGAATTAATTGCTTTTACCGTTTCTTGACAACAGGTTTCTGATGCTGCATTATTATAGGTTTTTTGTTTAGATGTTTGATTGGAAAAATTTCTGGTTAGATTGCCAATATTATTCATATCAACATTATTATCATTCATGTTTGAACACCATTCTTCAATATTTATATGAATCATTTTATGTACAACTTGTGTGGGATTCCATTCGGAAATACGTTGTATAGCTGAAGCAAAACCAAGCACACAACCAACACAACAGAATGCTTCATCTGAATGATTTTTATCAATCATATGACATTGATAAAGTGATTGTAATAATGACCAAAATTCATCGGTATAAATCTTTATTGTTTGACCATCATTTTGTTGATGGACGATGCCTTTCAGATAATCCTGTATAAAACGATTTTTTATAAAATTTAAACCAATTTGATGACAAAAATTTTGTTCTGTTGATTCTAAACAACAATATGTTGTTTGAAGTAGACAATGTATTCGATCCACACCAACATTATTAATATTCGGTATCATATGACATTCATTACGGCCACTGAATATTTGTCCCGTTTTACAACATTCATCACCTAACAGAATTTTATTTAAAACATATATTCAAAATACACATCAAAATTAAGTTGATTATTAATCAATAATAAATCAAATCAAATACTAAATACCAGCTTCTACAACAATGAATATTAAATATAATCCGATTATTAAACAAATAATTGGCAAAATATCTATCCGTTTTAACGACATCATTTGCAAAAACATTTGTGAAAATTTATTTGTTCATTTATTGATGTTACAAAAAAATAAAGAAACTTGAAAAAATTTGTCGAAAATCAACAAAAATAATAAATTCAATCCAATTATGATTTAGTTTCGAGCTTTTATATTAGAAATTGTTGCCCTCCTCCCTTTTCATATAATAATCAAACTATCCACAAAACAAACAAACAAACATACACACCATAAAGTATATGGGGAAAAAAATATCAACAAAGCTATCAACTAATCACATCATGATCCATCCGACAACTCTGATTCTTAAATCTATATTATTTTGTTATTCGGCAATTCAAATCAAATAAAATCATTTTATTCTTAAACCATTGATTATTTAAAGTATTAATATTAGTTGTAATAGTAGTAGCAGTATAGTTTATGATATTCATTCTTAATTCAAAAAAAAAAAAAAAATGAAGAAAAAAAATGTAAATATCTTTTCGGCCATTTCTTTTATGATTGATTAAATTATTAAATATTTCATCAATTACATGAGATGAATAATAAATTTTTGTAAATTTTCTTCAATCAACCGGATACTATTTGAATTATTGAATCCATTTTTTTCTTCTTCATCTTTTGTTGTTGATTTTGTTCGAGGTCATTTTAATTAATTTTTGTTTTCCAAATAATTTTTGATCAACAAACAAACCAAAATAAACCAAAAGAAAAACTATAGTGTTAGATATTTGAAAAAAATGATCTTGAAAACAATTAACTTTTCGAAAGATGTTATGTTTTTTTCTTTCTGTTTTTTTGTTTGGCTAAATGTTTATTTATCGTGATCATGCTTGTTCAAATCGTCGTTGTTGTTGTTGGTCTTTCCGTTAGTTATTATTATTTTTTTTCTTAATAATTTGATTTGATTTTCGAGGAAGGAAATAATGTTTTTTTTTTGTTTTTGTTATGTTGGTTATTACAAATAAATTTTCACTATGAATTACCTGAACAAAACGTTGCGGGTAAAAAAAAATATATCAAAAATGAAAGAGATAGAAAAAAATACATTTTTCAATTGTAATAAAAGTGGTAAAGAATAATGTGTAAGAATAAATATGGAATAAAATTTGACACGCAATCCCAAAAACAATGAAGAAGAAAATAACTAATAATTCGAATGAAAATAAACAAAAAAAAAAAAAAACAATCTGAAATGAAACCTTAAAAAAGAACTAAGATTTGACAGTTGGTACAATTTATGTGATTTACTGTGTACACACGCACACAAATATAGAAAAAAATATAGAAACAAACTCTAAATGATATGGCTTTCGGAAAAAAAATTCTTCCTTTTTTTCTATTCTTTCACATTTCTCTAAGGGTCTTTCTTTCTTTATATTAATTTTACAAACGTAGCAATTCCGTTAATGTGTTATATTCATTCACACATGTTCAACTAAGAAAAAAAAGGTATATTCTAACCAAATCGAACGGAAAAGAAAAAATGTTAACCAGAAATATAAATGAAATGAAATGAAAGAAAGAAAAAGCTAGTGAATCAATTTGGCATCACATGTGAACTTGACAGACTCAAACTCATATTTTATACGAGAGAGAGAGAAAGAGACAAACACATTGATACATTCTTATTCACTTTTCTAAATGTATATTCTATAACTAAACATTTTTATTTATTTATTTTTTCTACTTAATCAGAATGTGTTTACACACACGCACACACACACCCATCCAAGTACAAATATAAATTGTCAAGAATAATATTTAATTACATTTTGTGAAAAAACAAAAAAAAAAACTTTCCAGGAATTTCATTCAACATCATTTTTTTTTGTTTGGTTTTTAGGAGGATAAAAAGGAGGAGGGAAGCGTAAGAGTTAGTTTTAAAAAAATAGAGCTATTGATTCATCAGATTGATTGATTATTGTAAAATATATTATTCAATCATAATATTCACATTTTTTCTGGCATTCATCGAAATATTTTTGACATCATAATATATACAAACACACGCACATTGTAAGAGAAAATAAAGAAGAAATAAAAATCAAAAAGTTAAACCGAAAAAATATATAAACAACAAATAATACAGTCAATAGAAAGAGAGAGAGAGAAAAGAAAAAAATTCTCATTATATAAGAATCATTCAACATAACCATTCAACATAACCATTAAAATGATGGAAAAGAATGAAAGTATGAAATTTCAAGTAGGAAAAAAAATATGGTCTCAAGTATATAAATATGAAGAGAAGAAAAGTAGAAATTCTGTAACCTTTTTTTTCTCCCATTCTCTTGGGTTTTTTTGACTGTATTTATATGTGTGTGTGTGTGGAAAGAGTGAAAAAAAGATGCTATATTTTATTATTCCATTATACAGATGAAAGGCTTTTAAGGAATTGGCCTACATCGTTTTTTTATGAACGTAGAAAAAAAAATTTGCTTCATCGTCATACTAACCATCATAGATGACGGTTATTCTATTTTGCTTTTTTATTCAAACATTAGAATATAATAATGACGAAACAGTAAGGAGTTTTGATAATAAGAAAAAAAGGTATCAAGAAAAAAAAAGGATTCTATACACATTTTTGATACCGTAAAGTAGATTCGATTCTTTCTTTCTCATTTTTTTTCTTCTTCACAGTCAACAATAAAAGTAGATAGAAAATAGAATAAAATAATAATAACCTAGTCACACAGTGTGTATGGCGTGTTGATATACAATGAAAATATAATGAAACGAACAAAAATAAAATAGAAAAAATGAACGATAGAAACTCGAGAAAAAGAAAGTAAGAAAAAGACATAGACCATCATCATAATGTGTATGATGGAATTCTCTATTCTACAATACCTAAAAAAAAAGTCAGATAGATGAACATAAGATAATATACCTATAACAACAATTTTTTTTCAACTCATTAAAGCAGCTATATTGAAAACGAAAGAAGAAAAAGAAAAGAAATCAAATTTCGATTGAATTGGTCGCGATCTGAATAGGATTCAATTCGATCCATTTACCATTAAGATTTAAGAAAACAAAATAGAAAAAAAATTCTGCTGTTTTTGTTCCATGGATTCTGTCGATGACACAAACACACACACACACTGAAACAAACAAAATTGACATCACAATGTAATTGCGAAAGAGAGAGAGAGAAAAAAAAAATTCTAAATAATAACAATAACAGGATTATACAGGTAAAAAAGAATAGAAAATCCGATCTCTAAACAAAAAAGTTTATTTGTATTATTTGTTGTTCCGTACTATTAGCATCTATTGAAAGAAAATAAGCCAAAATAAGATTGGAATTTAAAGAAAAAGACAAGTTTTGCAACAACAACAAAACCAAAAAGAATACAAAATTTAAAATAAAATAAAAACAGTAAGGAAAAATGAGCATTAAATCGAACAAATTGTCATTGTAAATTAAAATGTAATTTTTGTCAATGTTGTTTTTGTTTTTTTGTTTGTTAATTCATACAATCATCATCATCATTCATGATGAGATGAAAAGTTGACACGCAAATAAAAGATAAACAAGTATACCCAATCATGATTATCATCATCATCAGGAATTCATTTTTCAACAACAACAAAAAGAACTAAAAGAAAAATCTACCCATCATCATCATCATCAGTTTAATGCATAGAGCATTAAACATTTTTGTTTTTTTTGCAATGATAATTATGATGATGATTACCAAGTGTTGAATGATTGAATGAATAAAATGAATACCATACAAATACTAAGTGATTTGATTTATTTTATTTTTTTTTTGACAATAATAATAATTATTGTCAAAAAAAAACAATGAATTTGATTTACATGTACGAACAAGTAGTTCAAAAAATTTATGTTAATTAGATTTGAATTTGAATTTAAATCTAATTATTTTGTACTGAATTCATATCAGCCAAAGAAAAAGACAAAATTCATCAACTTTTTGATTTGAATATATTTTTTTTTAACAAGAAAAAAAAACAAAAAATTCTATCCATATTGATAATTTTATCGAAAAATAAATGAAAAAATTAAAAAGTTTTTCTTTTTAAAAATTCAAAATTCTATCCATAAAAATTAATGATCATGAATCTGGAAATGAATTGACTAATTTTTTATTTTGTTTAATATGTCTATAAATACATTTCCATTACGGAAGCGGAAATACCTATCGCTTTGTTACTATTTGTTTTGTATTCTATGAGTGTGTGTACATATATTAGATAAGAGTGAAGAAAAAATCTCTATAAAATTTCAAAACAATAACTTTTTACCATAATAAATATGTATTTTTATCAAAATAAAAATAGTGTCATTATTTTTATTTTTATTTTTTTACACCATTAAAACAAAATATCTCATTCCAAGTATAAAGGCTAGAATATTTTTTTTCCACCTAACACACATCCATTTTCAATTCACTGATTTTTTTTAGAGAAAAATATATTGTTGTTAGTGATTTCAAAAAATGTCGAACATGAAACATTATATTTTTAGATCAATAATAACTAAAAGAAAAATATAGTGAAAATATCATCATCATCATCTTCATAATAATAATAATAACGTATATTCTCATACATTACAAATTTGAAATGAAAAATAGAATTATGGCCTGTTGGTTTGGTTAATATTGTTTTGAAAATGAACGAACTACCCGTAAAAAAAAGTAAAGAAAAAAAAATGAAAGGAAAGTAAAGAAAAGTAAAATTTATTTCTTCTTCAATACACCGACTCGATGCACAACATCGTAAATTACATACATACAGGGAATGAGAGAAAAAGAGAGAGAATCTCTCGAGATTCTAGAGTGTATAAGATTCTTGTACGCTGACTTGATAGAATTCTTTTATATTTTTTTTTTTTGTGCGCCCACTCTCTTTATACGCATTTAATATTTTTGGTTAGTTTTCATTTTGGCGATGGTTGGTTGGTTGAATTTTTTTTTCTATTTCATTTTTTCTTTTCGTGACGGTTATCCTGTTTGTTTGGTTTTACCAAGCTAGTTTGACTTGAAAATTTATCATCATCAATATTTTTTTTCTTTATCTTCGATCTGATTGTCATCTTTCCATTAATGTTTATTACATTTCGTTTCAATCGAAAATTGCGCCAGGATATTGGATTTTAAATAATACTGAATCTATATATAAATTGAAAAAAGATTGTCACAACGTTGAATCAACTGACATTTGATCATCATCATAAACCATTAATGATTGACAATTGTCTCAAATCGGTTAATACGCCTTTTTTGTCTACTTGAAATTTCAACACTATTTTTTTCGATTATTGATTTACAATCATTTTTATTTTATTCCGTTTTGAAGGATTTTTTTTCTTCTTGAAATGATTATAATGTTCAGCTCAAAAAGACAAGAAAAAAACAAATGTTCAATGTAATCAAATTTGAATTATCAATCGTCCATTATGAATAACTTATTATTATTAAATTAATTTAATCAACAATTCATTTTCCTGTATCAATAATTTTATTTACATCATCAAATTTTATTGAATCATAATTTAAACTAAATAAATTTGATTAAATTATCATTATCATCAGAATTACGTCCATCGAACATTAATTCGATTAATGTTAATTGAATTAATTCAAATTATCATCATCATCATTATCCAAAAAAGTCTCATAGTTTTTTTGAATTTAATTTAAGAATGTCATTTTGTTTTGTCGTTTATCAAATTAATGAGTGTGTGTGTGTGTGTAAAAAAAAAGTTTACAGAATGTAAAGAATTGAACAAATAATCTGTAACAATAATGCGTAGAATGTTTTTATTTGATGTTAATCAACCTAAGACGACAACAACAACAATAACAGAAACCAGAAACAATCATTATCATAATTATAATCGAAAACTTTTATCAATTATCAATAAAATGTTTGGATCATCAAAATCGAATAAATTTTTTTTTGAATCACATGATGATGATGATCATGGAAATTTAGATGATAATTTGATTGATAGAATACTTTATCAATCACAACATTCATCTAGACAACATTATCAACAAGATCCATCATTATCCTCTGATGAAGATTATAATATCAATAATATTAAATGGTTATATACTAAACGATATCCACAATATTCAGCAACATTAAATCAACAAAATGAAATTGAACATCATAATCACTATCAAACACAACATCAGAATATTCATCACAATTTTGATGATATTACTAATAATGTAATTTTTCAATCAGATCATAATCATAATCCTCTTAATCATCATAATCATCATCATCATCATCATCAACATCATCAACAACAACAACATTCACAACAACAACAACAACATCAACAACAACATGAACGTCATCATACTAATAATCCTCAAAATGTATTACAACAACAATCACATCAACAATCATCATCGACAACATTGAATAATCATCAATCGGAAATTTCAACACAAAATTTAAATACACTTATTTATGATAATGATCTTTTAACCGAACGAGAACGTGAATATTATAAAGATTATGATCCAATGGTTGGATATCGAATAGCATTATCATTAGGAATTATTATACTTATATTCATAATATTTGTTCTCTATAAAACACATTGTCAAAATAAAAAAAATCGACGATTATTGATGAATGCACAACAAAATATTCAAATGTCAAATTTACGAACATCTACAACAACTAATGATTTATAGCAGTATATTTGTCAGCCATAATAAAAAAAAGTAAAATGAATGTAGATTTTTCTATAGAAATTATAAAAACATATTAAAACATTACAAATCATCATATTTATAATACTTATAATACAAAATAGATTAACAAACAAGAGAATAATATACAAACATATAAAAAAAACAAAATTCGAGCTAAATAATTTGACCTTATTCATATATTTATTCATCTATTCATATGGGAAATATTCTGATTTTCATCAAAAAAAACATTCTCAAATCATTGGATCTTGTTTATCTTTTTATTTTTCGTAATTACTGTTCGGATATACATTTATCACAATTTTATTGTTGTTGTTAAGCTAATAATCTTTTTGTTCGCAAATGATCTTTTTTTCCCCCATTCCTAATTTAGTATTAATACTTTTTTTTCAATAAAATTATACATCATTTATTCTGTGCCATTTGAAGAAAAAATTTGTTTTTAATTATTATAAATCTCATAAGGTAAGAAGAAAAACAATAAACAATAAAAAAAAGTCAAAAATCAAAGTAATTTAAATTAAATTTAAAAATAATCAATGGATTATTATTATTATATTCCGTAGTTTCGCATTTCAATCAGCAACAAATTTTAAAATACCATTTACGATTTATCGATTTCGATTTCGTTGATATGGTTGTTGTTTCTGTTTTGCTGCCGTCGGTAATGATATTTTGGCCGAACTTATCTCATTATTTAGTTGATGATGATAATGGTTAAGCTGATTACCTGTAAAAGCGACAAATCAAATTCACAATCAAAGTTATATTTAGAATAATTGATTTTTTTTGCCTTGTTTTTGTTTTTGTATCACTGCTTACAATTTCGATTATTCAAACCATTATATTGATTGTTTACGGCACCAAGTATTTTACATTTAGCATCGGCTACTATGGATGTTGTTGCTGTTGTTAAATTTGATTGTGATTTTGATGGAAAACATTTTCGAGCGGCCATCGCTGCTGATTGTATATGATTTTGTTGTTGTTGTTGATGATGATGATTATGAACACCAAAATTAGATTCAAAATTTACATCAATATCATCATTATTATCCGGTGGAATAAGTATATCAACATCATTTCCCACAATGACAACGTCATCATCATCTTCTTCAAAACAATCATCAATGATAATATCGTTATGATTATTATTATTATTATTATAAAAATATAAACCGCCTGACAAATGTTTATTCGTAAAATTCCTATTCACTAACTTATTATGTAAATGATTTGGCTGTTGTTGAATATTGGCCGCTGAAGATGATGATCCATGATTATCGTCAAGGGCCATTATTCTTGTTGCCATATCTTTAGAAAAATAGCGATGATTTTGTGTTGTCTGTGGAATTCGTTTTGACTGCTGTTGTTTATGTTGATTATTATTGTTGTTATTATTGAATTTATGATTCACTTTAAAATGTTGATGATGTTTATGATTTGCTGGCGCTGTTAATAATAAACTAGGTTTCATAATTGTTATTCCATTATTATTTTGATTATTATTATTATTATTATTATTGTTGCTACCGTTGTTTTTGTTGTAGTTATCATTATTATTGGAACAAACGATTGCCATTGATGATGATCCTAAACCTGATTTTGTTGCATTCATATCACTGTTCATCATTAAATGATTATGATGATGATGATGATGATTATGACCAGATGTTGCTGATGATAGATTATGATGATGGTTAAAACAATTTCGTTCGTTTGATTGTTGATTATTTGATTGTTTTTGTTGTTGTTGTTGCGGATGATGATGATTATGATGATGATGATGATTTTGTATGTTTGTTGATGTTTCGATTGATGAATTTAATGGTTCATTACGTAATTGACGCATAAATGTATTGACTGATGATGCTGCACCGAATGGTAAACGATTACGTTTTGGTGGTTGATAATAACCACGTTGACAACACCAATCACCATGTTTATCATTACGAAAAATCCATGTCTGTGAACAATTCATACAATGACAGCATTGATTTTGTTTCAATCCATTATTACCGATTGTATTTGTTAACGGTTCGATGTCAGATAATTTTGTACTGCTAAATATTGTATCTAATAAATGATCAGTACTACTAGCACGATGACCACTTTGTAATGATGTCATCGTACGAGGTAATTTTGTTGATGATTGTAATTGTTGTTTATGATCATAAACATTTAATGGTTGTTGATTTGAAATGTTTGTTCGAAAATATCTCGGTAAATTGAAACGGGTAGTTTTATTACCATTGGAAAAAAGATTAGTTCGATTATTAGTTAAATGATTATTTGGTCCAGCCATATAATCGGCTGGATGTAATGAGAACCATGATGTCATTTCTCTTGAACTAGTCAACGATGGATGCGATTGATTGGGATGTTGATGATGATGATGATGATGTTGGGATGCTGTCATTCGTAATCTTTGTTGTTGTTGCCAACGCAATGCAGCTTTTTCCGCTTGTTTCCAATGACGATATTCATCGCACATATCTTTGAATCGTACTGACATTGCAACAATGATCAAACAGATGACCGATAATGCACAACATGATCCAATTAATATATATGCCAATCGTTCGGTTGTCAAACGATATGATGGATTTGTTGGTGTCGTTATAATACCAATATTCATATGTGTTGATGTTGGTGTCGGTATTTGTGTTGATGTAGATATTGTTGTAATATTTCTATCATTTGTAGCCAATTCATTTAATTTTATCGAATGTTTTGCTAAACTATCCTTATCATCATCATTGAATAAAACATTCGTTGATCGATTATTCCAGCCAACACTTGTATTAGATAATCTCGATTCATCCGAATTAAGATCAAAAAATATATTGGTATCAGAATCAATGTTATTAGACATTGTTGTTGTTGATGTTATGTTTGGCATAAATTTAAGATTATCATCAATAATTATTGCATCATTTACTTCGAATGGAATCGTTTCCTCTATTATTGTAGCTATAGTTGATACTGTCTGATTTTGTTTGGATCTATCATTATGATTATATGATTTTGATGGATATTGTCTATTTTTATCAATTGTTTGATTTTTATATACAAAAATTGGTGTCAAATTTGGCCCTTTTGTTGTTGTTGTTAAATTTTTGATTCGTATTTTTACTGCAGATCTTGATGTCGTTAATAATGGTCTTATTGTTGTTGTCGTAGTTGATGATGTTTTAATCGGTTTTCTTAATGATACAAATCGATTAGGTGAATGACCAAATAAAGATAAGTCATCATTATTTTTAATGATTGTCATCATCGAAGATGGATGTCTTGTTGGTATAAATTTTGTAACATTTCGATTAATTGTTTGAGTACCTCGAATTATTGGCGATATTTTTGGTGTCCAAAATGGTTTCGGTGTTGTGGTTGAATTTTGACGATTATGATTATGATGTTGATGTTGATGATGATAAATATGACTAGGTTTTTCATAAGGACGATGTCCAATAATGATTGTTTCATTCTTAATCTTATCAGCTGGATCATTGAATTTTATTTGATGATTATTATTTCTATTGCTATTATTATTATTATTATTGTTATTATTAGGTTTTTGTTCTAATAATGGTCGGAATGGTAAATGATATGGTGGCGCTAATATCGGTTTTCGATTTGTTAAATTCTTTATCCATTGATCTAAGTGATCTTCTTCATTTATTGATGAATCACTAACAGTGATTATATGTTGACCGATTTGTTTATTATTATCATTATTATTATTGTTGCTTTTATTATTAAAATCAATCGATTGATATAATAAATCACCACCATTACTAACTAGATTGAATGAATCGCTTATAGATTTTGTTTGATTTAGTTGTGCTTTTTTGGCATCCAATTCTTTTTTCAATAATGCGGCCAATTCTTTTTATTAATAGAATCAATGATTTATTCGATGATAAAAATAATGTGATGACATAAATGAAATATCAAAAAAAAGAGAACAAAAAAGAAAATCAAATGAATATTTGTTAATAAAGTTGAAATAAAAATAATTTCATTATATTTTGTCATATCAAACAATCGAAATAAAAAAATCTAATTCAATTCAATTGAATTAAATTCAAACAACAATCAAACTCGAAGAGAAAACAGAAAAAGTTTACTTTATTTTCATCTATATTATTGTCTATTGCCTTGTTTTTTTTTTACTTAATTTTCATCATCCCCATCACCCAAATTGAAATAATCAATCATCCATCGTGATTGAATATATATTGATTTTTGTTGACATATAAATTATCAGCATCATGTTATATATACTATTGGTAACTTATCAAGAATCCTCAAATATATATGCTAAAAATAATAAAACTTTGCACACATTGTAGATCAAGGACATTCAAACAACACACCGATACAAACAAAATAAAATAGAAAAAATTAAAAAAATAACTAGACCAAAAATTTTGAGAAAAAAACCGAACAATATTTATCGAATGAACACATTGTATCTGAACAAATTAGACATGAGTATAAGAAGATAGAATGAGAGAAAAAAGAAATGTCAATCAACCAACAGAAACTGAGGGGGAGGAAGGAGAGGGAAAGAGAAAAATTACATACAATAAACAATCACATTTGTCCATTGATTTTCACTGTCATCCTGGTCCATTATTCGTTTGTTATTACATAGTTGACACGAATTTCATCACCATCATCATCTCATATATATTGATATAACTATTCTTTAAGGCCTGTATGAAAACTGTATTGTACTTGTTAATGGTAACAATGATTTTTCTTATATGAATTGTCAAATATAAACCTATTATGTCATATTGTAAAAACAATGGATGAAAATTTTTCTATTAAAATTCCGTGAAAAGTTATGCTTTTGTCAAGATTTGTTCAGAATAATTTGGCAAAAAACGTTAGATCAAATAATAGCTTACAATGACAAGTTTTAGATATTTGGAAAGAATTTTCCTCCAACAAATTTTTGATTTATTCTATGTTCGGTGAATTTTTTTTTCTACATACGTAATGAAATTCTTTAAATCATTTGATGATCTAATAAGCTATTTTCAAATAGTTTTAGGCAAATTTTTTAGCCTATACAATTGCAAATGGTAATGTGTTTTTTTTTGTTCATGTTTTTCTATGATATGCATGAACGAAATCGATAAAAGTAAAAAAAAAATATTGTAATCAAATAAAATACTGAAAAATTGAATCGGATAAAAAACAACCAAAAAGAAAAAAACTATTTTAATATTAATGATGATGTCGGGCCTAAATTTTGACAATTTTATTCTTTAGTTTTTTTCCGACATGCCAAAAATGGTTGAATAGATTAAATCATCAACAACAACAAAAAAAAACATTTTTGATCAAATTTCACTTGTTCCGTATTCATGATGTGAAAATTAAAATATTCACACTATTTTTTTTGGATGTATCGTTGTTGATTCATTTTAGCGAAAATGAAATGCCAGAAATTTTTCAATTTGGTTTTAGGCACTTATAAACAATAATAATATTATTTGCATACATTATATTTGTTTTGTTTTCTCTTCGATATAATAAAATGTTGCAAAAAAATGAATGATTTTCATCATTTCATTGAACGATATTTGCATACAAATTAAGTTAGTGGGATTTTATTTTTTGAATCATTTTACTCACCATCTTTCTGTTTATGTTTAAATGTATTTAATGTTAGATTTTTTCGATTTTCGGCCATTTGTTTTAGCATCATATGTATACCTGGATTTAAGAATTTTATTTTCGATGCTACGGTCGTTAGTTTGATTGTTGGATTCATTGATGTAGCTTTAATAATTTCGGATAATGGTGTTGTTATGAATGATGCTGTAATTGGTGTTGGTGTTACATCAGTCAAAACAATAGGTTTTTCACCAACATTGACAACCACTTGAAATAATGTTTTGTTCGGATGCTGTAATATTGATGATGGTGTCCATTGTTGATTTTTTATCATCATTGGTTTTGTAAATAATACCGGTAATAAAATTTGCGTTTTTGTTGTTGTTGTTGTCGTCGTCGGTGCCGTCGTTGTTGAATACATTGCTGTTGTTGATGAAAGAATTTGTCGAATTGGATTAAAAATCATTGGTCTCGAAATTAAAGGAAAATTATCACGCTTAGTAGAAATTTTTGATGTTTGTGTCGTTGGTGCTATTAGTGTTGGGTTTGTTGTTGTTGTTGTTGTTGTTCTATTTGAATGTTTTTGTTGAATTTGATGATTATGATGGCGATGATGATGATGATTATGAAAAGGAGTAGAAGAAGGTCTAGATAAATTTGTTCTTTGTTTTATGGCCATTGTTTGTTGTGAATTATGATCATTTTGACCATAAAATATTTGATTCTGTAATTTTTGTTGTTCTTTCGCTTTTATTGCAGCTGCCATAATAATACGTTTGATGAATGCATCGTGTGTTTCACGACCATTACGAAATAGGCGATCGATTAATGGATCGATGGTTGTTGTCATTGTCATCGTCATCATTGTTGAGTTATACTGCATTGGTTTTGGCACTGAAAACAATGAATTCTGTTGAATTCTTGATGGCAATAATTTTTTCGAATTTGTAATGTTTTTTTCATTTAGAATCCTTGTTGGTTGTGATATGATTGTCTTTGTTTTTGTTGAGGTAATATTTTTGGAACAATTGTTTTTTGTACATTTTGTCGTGATGTTAAATGAAGAAAACAATGGTAATGATGTTGATAATGATGATGATGATGTTGGCAAAGATGGCCAGGTTCGAATTCTATCCTGGATCATTGTTGTTTTAATGTTGGCACCGGAAGTTGTCGTTTCGGCTAAAATAATCGTCATTGTTGATGTTAACAATGACAAAATCAATATTAAAATTAATATTTTAGGCCGAAAATTATTTGTTCTACAATAATAAAATCTATTATATTTATTGGAAATTTGTTTCAATTGATAATATGATTGTTTTTTGAATGAAATTTGATGAACAATAAAACAACAACAACAATAACAAGAATGGCAATGACGATAATTGTCGATGAGCAGCATATCGTTGATAAATGATTATAATGAATCTGATTATTATTATTATTATTATTCGTTTGATTATGATCAATGATGATGATGATGATGATGATGATGATGGTAATAATGATATTGGTGATGATGACATTGACATTGGCGACAAAATAATGACAAATGATTTCATGATTTGTAAAAACATGTATATCATATCGATGTAATTGTGTTAAAATGAATTCAATTTTTTTGGAATTTCAAAAATCAAAGAAAAATGTGCGGGAATAAAAGAATTCGTTCATCGATTTTAATGGATAAAAAATAAAATAAAAAGAACTGGTCGATCGATCGATTCGATCAGTTCGATTGATATTCATACCAACATTAAATTTTTAAAAAAATTATATCTAACCGTTATCCATCAATCGATCAACTTGAACGAATATTTTTGTTGTTGTTGCTTTTTTATTCAAAATATTTTCTCAAAAAATATATTCAAATTAAGATTTTCACATGCGAAAAAAAAACAACAACAACAATAATAGAAAAAAGAAAAGAAAAAATCTAAACTGATTCCACGAGATTTTCTATTGATTGAACATTTAATCGTCAAGTTAAAATCTAAACTAAATATCATTTTGCCGCCGATGATACTACTGGGGTTACACTTCTGATCATCATTCATTCATTGTCTCTCTCTCTCTCTCTTTCTCTTCTTTTTTACTGTTGTTTCATTTCCATTCAATTCCATTTCGTTACGTTTCGTTTCGTTTCTTGATTCAATTTTTGTTTTTCTTCATTATCATTGTATTTGCTTGCCTTCCGAAAACAACAACGACAATAATATAATAACAAACATTATTTTCTTTTTTACTTCTTTATTTCGTTTGTTTCACTATACATTTATTCATTACGGTTGTTGTTGTTGTTGTTGTCTATCTGACATTTTACCTGACTGATCAGCTGTAGTACTTTCCTCGCCATTTTTCTCTTTTTTGTTATTGTTGTTCTCTTTGGTTAATATTTACCGTATCCGTATGGTTGTTATTTGTGTAAAACAAACTTGTTGTAAAAAAAACGAACAAAAAAGAATTGTTTTTTCATCATCATCATCATCGATGAGATAAGATGATGCTGATGATGAAAATAATTTCATTCAAAGAGAACGATAAATCTAGAGAGAGAGAAAGGTAATAAATATGTTCTACACATTAATAAGTACCAAATTTTATATTAAGTTTTTGTTTTTTTTTGTTTGGTTTCAATATATGATCATAAAGAGAAGAAACTGAGAAAAAAAATCAAATAAATTAATTTAATTTAATTTGATGATTTGATTGTTAGTTATTGTTGTTGTTGTTGATTTTCTTTTTTCATTTGTTCAATTCCTTTTCTGATATCAGATGTCTATTTTATTTGGATGGATTCATTGCTGTTTTGTAGGGTTTTGTTTTGTTATGTATCACTATGTCATTGGAATACCTATTCTTCTTTCTTTTTTTTGCCCTGATAATATCAGTTAGTTAGATCTGTCTGACATCAATATGTAATGTGGATAGGTTGTATATGTTGTATAAATTATCATTTTTAATGAATTTTTTTTTCAATTTTGTTGTTGATAAAAACCATTTTAAATATTGATATAAATGATTCGTGAAGATGTACGAAAAACAATCCAAATTTTATTATTATTTTGTTGTTATCAATAAATCATTTTTTTTTTGGTCTAAGCATAAATGAATTGAATATCTTTGTAGTGCCAAAGAAAAAAAAATTTCAATTTATAAATTTTTTTTTCACATCATATATCACATGAAGCAATGAAAAAAAAGGAAAGAAATCAAATATGCAAAAGAATCAGCTATCTGAATGGCTACAATTTAATCGATTTATGTGAAAATAATATACAATTTTTTTTTGTATGAATAGAAATCATTTATCAATCTTGTGAAATATTTTTTTCAAGATGAAAACATTTGGATAATAATTAATATTGCTGTTGTAAATTAAGAATCAATGGGAAAAGTTTTTTTCCACTATTGATAAATCCAATTGAATTTTTGAATTTTGAATTTATAAATTCAGTGGAAAAAATTAAAATTGTTTTCCTGATTCTTTCAATAACAACAACAATAATTTTTTTATGATGAATTTTAAATTTACAGATGTCTAAATGTTTAATTCGATTGAAATCATCAATGAATAAATAAACAAAAAATTAAATTTCAAAAGATTTGTTCATCTTAAACAATGAATGATGTTGTTGTTGATTTGATTTAATAAACTAAAATCAAAAAAAAATCTTTAAAGAATAAACATACACATTCACACAAACCCACAAAGAAAGAGAGAAAAAGATCTACAACACATCTGTAACGACATTTATAAATAGAAATATTTAGATTATAACAAGGAGAACAAATTTGTACAAATTGTAACAAAACATGAATACTTTATGCTTGAATAATTTGATCATCATTTTTTCTTACCATTGAACAAATTCTATCATCATTTTTCAATCAATTTTGTTAATATTTTTTTTTCTCGCCTCCCTCCTGCTTATTTGTTTATTTATGTTTTTGATTTGAATTCATGTTTTAAATATTTTCGAATTGGAAAAAAACAAATCTCTTTTAATTGAAATAAACATAAACAACGGATGGAATAAATATCTTATATCAAATAATTATATAAATATTGATTGTTTATTTTCACACAAATGCCCTTTTGGACAATGTGTTTTTGTTTAAAATTAAATTAAATTGATATAAAAATTGAAAAAAAGAAAATCGGAAATTGAAAATTAAACATAGAATCGAATAGAGAATTTTGGTTCAAAAAAAAATTCAATTATTCAATTTAAATTGGCCAATATTTTTTCCCATGTTGTTACAGATGGAAAAACTGTGACAATAATAACGATGACTACAGAAAAAAAAATGAAAAATGAAAAAATGAATAATTTTTTTTCAAGTAAAATGATCTAATTTTTATTTGCAAAACATGCCAACCATGTACATAATAATTGTTCCGTTACAGTTTCCTATTTTTTCCACTATTATCATCATCATCATCATCATCAATGATCATATAATTCGAATGATGGTTACGATAATGACAAATGAATTTTCGGTCGTCTATTTTTTTTCTCTATTCTTTCTTTTTTTCGTTCTTACTTTAGTCATTCTAAGTGTCGATCAACGAATGTTTTTTTTGTTGTTGTTGTTATTTGTTTCTCATTTGTTTTCATCTCCACATACGACATTTTCAATCATTGTGTATCTTAGAAGCAACAGCCCGAACATAATTCAATCTTGGTTGCACAGTAAAAAATAATGATGTCGAATTAACCAAGAAAAAAAACAAGAACACCGATCTCGACAGCAAAAAGAAGAATAATGAAAAAAAAACATCGTTTTTGAATACAAATGATGATGATGACAATAACAATGATGTGACAGTAATTTCGTCTATTCGTTTTCCGTCTTATCAGTCAATTTATAAATTTTTATTAAGAAAATTCGAAATTCGATATAAAAAAATTCTCGATATTAATTCTTTTTTTTTTGAAAACAATTTATTCATATTTAGCTATATGATCAGACAATGATAAAATATGACATAAATTTTCAATTTAAATTTCAATCTAATGAACATTGACATCCGTTTTGTTTTGTTCGGCTGAATAAAGCAAAAACGACGAGCCAATGAACAAAAATTCTTATGTTGAAAAAAATAAAATAAAATAAGAAATAATACAAAACAAAATATGCTAATGAATTATAGCTAATTGAATTACGACACAATGATTCATTACAATGTTTTTCGGTTTATTTACTATGAATTATTAACAAACGAAAAAAAAACCGTTGAGCATGGACGATTTTTCTGCTTTTTCTACTTGATTTCCGTGTGTGTTTGTGTATGTTGATATTCAACCCTCTCTCTCTCTCCCTCTCTAGGTTGTCGAACCACTCAAAGATATTCCCTTCTGTACATTGCATAAATTTATGTGGTTTAAAGAAGAACGAAAATTTCTTTTCTTTTTGTTTTGTTTTCATTTCGAAAATTATCATCACTAGAAATGTTGAAATGATTTTTGTTTTTGCTATCGTTTTCTGGAGCAAATGAGTGATAGGAACAATAATTCAGTTTAGTTTTTATTTGAAAGATAATAATAAATTATTTTTCATTATTTTTCTTCCATATCCGGATACCCCAAAATGATAATAATAATAATCATCATCATAACATGTTTGTTTGTTTGTTTGTTAAAATCTTACAATCATATTCTAGGAAAGAAATTATTCAATGAAACGTTATAATTTGCAATTGAATTAATCATTAATTGTTATGATGATGATGATGATGATTACTATTATTGTTATTATCAAAATTATCTTCACAAGATTATTATTATTATTATTATCATTTTTCATCATAATTAGATTTGATTGATTGATTGATTGATTTCTACTGAACAATGTATTTGTTTGTTTTTCTTGTGAATTTTCTTCTGTTCATGAAATTTGTTCTTGAAAATTTTGTTTAAAAAAAATGATTTCATATTTTTGCCAAAAAAAAGATCTATTTATCTGAAATCAAAATATAAAAACAAATCATTGTTGTTTTTTTGTTCTTTATCAAAAATCAATTATCTATGGTATTGTCAATGATAAGTTTGACCTTCTATTTTTAATGAATAAATTCCATTAGTAAAATAAAAATTAAAAAAGGTTACGGTTTTTCATTTCTTTTTTTCAACCAAATTTATCGATATAATCGATTATGATATGTATGATTGAATTCATTATGATCGACTAACGATTCACAAATAAAATGACCATTTTTTTATCATTAAAATTTATTGTTTTTTTCCAATTGAAACAAACAGAAGAAGGAAAAATGATTATAATGGTTATATTAATTTTTCGTTTTTCGTTTTTTTTTTGTAAAAATTCTTTTGAATCAATTGTAAATCGTTTTGGAAATTCATGATCATTCATTATCAATAGTCATAATAATCACAATATGACCATTAGTAATAAATTTAATTGATTGATCATTTGATGATTTTATAATTTTCTATTAATTATTATTATTCCAATGAATGAAAATCTTTTCAATGAAATGAGAAGAAAAAAACTATTCCACAAATTGAAATTCGATTGTATTCATCAATCCTATCAATAGAATTTTCCATTGACACTTATTGTTCCTATTGTGATAATTTTTTTCTATCTAATCAATAATTTGAATAATAGAGATAAAAGAAATCGATAGATGGATGGATGGATGGTTGAATATGAGAAATTTTGATTAAAATGAATTTTTTATTCATAATCATTGTTAATCATGAATGAAAATGATTTTTTTTTCCAATGAATGGTACGAATTCATTTTCGTATGATTCGAATGAATGAAAAAAACTAACGGGAAGAATGAAAATACAAGAAATTCCAATCTATATAGTTTGACTAGGCGAAAAAAATGATGTGACAATAAAATTCAATCAAATATCGACCAAAACAACAACCGAACAATAATCGAACGAATCGGTGATAGGCATGAAACAAAAAAATAAAGGTTGTCAATACCAGCCGGCATCCATTAACCCGAGAAGAATTGATTTTAAATTTAGGACGCAAAACTAAATCAATCAACATTTATGAGATTTAATCACAAACAATGATTGTGACGAATGTCAGATACACACACACACAATACGATGATCATCGTTATTGGAAAATTCACAAAAATACCCGAATAAAATCGATCGATAATTCGGCTATCCGTTTCAACAATTCGTCATTCAATCCTGTAGGTCAGACATTGAACAATTCATATGTAAAGGAAAAAGAAAGAAAGAAGGGGATCGATTGGAATTGAATTATTTTGTTACAATGTGATGATGATGATGATGATGAGATTTTTCAACAATTGTCTATCAAATTTTTCGAATAAGTCGAATACAGACATAAGAAATGAGGAAAAGAAAAACAATTCGAATGTCATCAAATTGAAATTGAATTTCGTCTATCGTTTGTCGTATTATATTGATCTACATCGATACGCATTATTTTATTTTCCAGTTGCAAAAAAAAACCAATCATCATCAATTCCTATTGAATATTATCATTAAATTGTAATATTATTGTTTATTGTTTTGTTAGGCATATCCTTATTATTTTCAATTTAAAATCACATTATTAGATTAGGTAAAAGAAAAAAAACAACAATTATTTTTTTTGTTTCACACACCAACACACGGTTAACACCGGAAATTCATTACTATTTTTTCATTCGTGAATTGATTCGAGGTAAATTTTTGACATTTTTTTTATTGAATCTAAAATTAAAAATTCAATATATTTTTATAAATAATTTAATGATTTTATTGACGGATTATTCAAATTGAATCATCATTTTGAAAATTTTACAAATATAGGTATTATCATTAAAAAAAATCATTAAAAAAACAATACAATTAAATTTAATTAAATTTTTCACAATTTATTTTTGTTTTTGTTTCTTCATTTGGTCATTGTTTGAAAAAAAATTTATTTTGTTCAATGTTGATTATATAATGAAATAAAATTGATCAAACGGAAAAATTCATGTCAATAAAAATTGAATGGATCAAAGATTAACGATAACAACAACTACAATAACAACAGAAAATGAAGTAAAATCAATTAAAACAACACGTCTATAAATTTTATAGATAAATCTATTTGATTAAAAATTATTGGCCAATTTATTGATCGATCATCACATTTTGATAAAACAAGGAACAGAAAAAATTTTTCATTATGAGTTTTCAATTGTTCCAACAGCCAACAAAAAAACTCATTCATTCATTCGTGATCGATTTAATCAAACTTATTTATGAATAAATGAATCATTCATTGATTGATAGATTCATTGATCAATGAACAGTGTCATCATTGTAATTTATGGTTGATTGAACATGGTAATCTTCATCATCATCATCATCATCACCGCCTATAACCGCCATTCATGCACCCATTTATGACAAGCACCTAATATTACTATTGTTTTATTTTTCTGGTCCATGTGACACAGTGATACAGTGGCTCCCCGAGTTACGAACATACTTGGTACTTACAAACAAATTTAACTTATGTAACGGTTTCGGTTGGTAAGTCGAGAAGCTACTATTGTATATGAGACATTAATGTCTCACAGCCACTAATTTTATCTTTTTTTCGCTTCCTTTTTCAAAATACATTAAAATTTATTGCATTCCAGCCAAATGATAATGTGAAATGACAAGAATGAGAGAGAGAGAGAGAGATAAAAAAGGAAAAAGAATCTCCTATGTTACCTGTTGACCAGTGACAACGATAAAAAAGTAAACAAAAATGAAAAATATAACACTAACTGATTCATCACGACATTATTGAAAGTTAGTTTTTCACCCATTTATTTGATGCGGTAATAATTTTATTGAAAATTCAATCAAATCAAAATCGAAATAAGGTAACTATATTTTTTTTGCTATAATCATTGTAGCATCCATAATTCACATAAATTGATCAAAAACAATCAAAAAAATAAATAAATTGAAATTGAAATTTGAAATTTTAAAAAAAGAAATTCGAAAAATATCAATTGAAATTGGCATTCGAACATGACTTGATTTACAATTATAATGGGTAGGTAAGAGAAAAAACTCATCTAATGACAAAGATTGATGGATTCTAAATTTGGATTCTGGGTTTTCCTTTTTTTTCTTCTTTTTAAATTCCCATCACACCGAACAAAAAAAAATTGAAATTTTCAAAAAAAATTTCCAATTTTATTGGAAAAAACGTGAATAAATACATGATTTTTTCGTTCGAAAAAAGTTCGTATAAACTGAACGGTCATTGAAAAAAAACAATCAACGAAACGAAAAATAAAAACGACTGGTCATAAATATTTTATTTCATCTCAAGAAAATCAATCTGATCAAAATGTAGTGACAAAAAAAAAGAAAGAAAGCAAAAATCATGAAAATAATAAAAATAATCAAATAATAATAATAAGTAGATACACAATTCAAACAGAGAGAGAGTGTGAATGATTTGGTTTGTAATTAAAGAAAAAAAAATAATCTATTTTTTAAGAAAAAATAAAATATTCATTAATGAGTATAAAAGTGTTTGTGTGTGTGTGTGTGTAATGAATCAATAATTGGTTTTTGTTTGAAAAAGATCAAACATTAATTATCTGATGTAATTGTTGTTGTTGAATCACGATCTTCAATTTCACGTTGTGCTTTTGATATTTTAACTTTACTTCGTACCGGTGTTTCTTCAGGTGCACCAGTTGTTTTGGCAAACATTTTCATTTTTTCTTGAAATGTTAACTTTTCGGGTAATTTATCTGTTGATGATTGATTCTGATTCGATTTAAAACGTTCAGCTTCAATACGTTTACGAGGATCATTATATACTTCCTGTGCTCCTATTACACCTGGTGTACTACCACTTACATAATTATTTAACCAATTTTTTCCATTTGGTCCTTGTGATCCAAGTACATCATCAATATCTTGTAATGAAAATCTATCTTCTTGTGGTTCATCTTCCTCTTCTTCTTCCACATGAAGATGATTAGTATGACTACCAATTGTAACAACATTTCCATCGTTAATGCACATATTTGTTTCTGCATTCATTTGTTCATTTTTTCCATCATCGTCATCTCTATCCTCATCTTCAACATCATCATCGTCATCTTCAATGTCATCATCTTCATCGTCATCATCATCATTATTTAATACGGTTGTGGCAGGATTATCATTCCATGAAACTTTTTTAGTAGATTTATTTTCGGAATGTATATTCGATGTATTATTATTCGAATTTTTCAAGACACCCATTCTGGTTGTTGTTAATGTTGCGACTGGTATTGCATGTTGTTGTTGTTGTTGTGATGTGGATTGTTGTTGATCGTTTTCATCATTTTTCATTACATTCAATAATAAACGATCCAAACGTTGATTAGCTGATTCAACGGGTGGTGATGATTTTGGCAACGGAGGAATTGTTTCACTATGATAATCATAAGTTGATTTATTATTCATTTTGGATGGAGATTCTTCCTAAAAATTTAGCAATAATAAAATTATTGTAATAATTATGTATTCATTGATTTAAACATTTTAATGTTTACCTGTCGTTTTTTAACATCCGGCAAAATTTTTTCTTCATCCGGTAGCGTTTGTTCTTCGGCAATTCTAAGATATTTAAGTCGCTGTGCTGTATCCGCTTTTTTCTGATCATCATTTTCATCTGTTCTATTAACATTAAAACGTTGTTGTTGTTGTTCCTGTTGTATGCGTCGTTGACGAGAACGTTCACGATCCTGATGAATGGCTAACATTCGTTCACGGCGTTCAGCACGGTCTAGCACTTCATCATCATCATCCTCCTCATCATCTTCATTCTCTTCGGCAGCACGTCTTTGAAATTCACGTTCTAGGATCAATTTCCTTAGACGTTCTTCATTTTTAGGATTACGATAAGGTAATGATTCTAAATGTTTGATCTCATCATCGCGAGATCTTTTTGTTTCTTCGATTTTTTGCTGAATTTCCTATAGAATATATAACAAAATAAAAATTTTAATCATATTAATGGGACAAATTTAGTAATACCTTTTCTTTCTCTTCACGTTCCCATGGTGATGGAGATGAGGATTTGGCTTGGGCTAGAGGTGGATATCCACTAGGTCCATAACGATAATTTGGCTGTTGTGCATGTTGAATAGCATTATTATTGTTATTCGATGCCATTGATCGCATTGGTTTTGGTGCAGGTGGCGGTGGATTAGAACGGATAGGCGAACCAAATGGCCCATTAGGACGGAATCCGTTCAACGATGATTGTGATACAGTTGTAGATGGTTGGGGCATTGATTGGCCATTGTATGTCAATGATTGTTGGCTAGTGAAACGTGGCCGTAAACTGTTCCCATTAGTCGTCATCAGAACATGAGGAGTGATGGCAGAATTAGACATTGATACACCTCGTGACATTGTATGTGAACCGCCATGCAACTGTTGTTGTTGAATTCGATCTTCACGACGTCGTAATTCTTCGCGGATCTCTTCCATTTTAGCTTCTTGTCGCAATTGATGCTGGCGAAATTGCTGTTCGATCAATGTCTGATTCGGGTCGGATGATTGTGACTGTTGTGAATAATAATGTTCTCCGGGTCGTTTCACCGTATTTGCTACAGATCCTGAAACAGCTGCTGCATTTTGAGCAAATATTTGCTCCTGTTCTCTAGTGGTCACAATGGCCGATACAGGTCTCGAGGGATTAGATGATGATGTTAATTCACCAGTGGTTGTTACCAATGATGATGGATGTTGCTGTAAAGATGAATGTGACCCGTGTAAGATGGAACGATTTGCTACTTGAGCAACACTAGACGGTGGCGGCATTATTTGATGATGGTGATGAAGTTGATGATGATTCATGTTCGGTGATAATTTTTGCATTGAAGAAATTTGTCCAGGTCCATTGGGCTGTGTTGCAGATCCCGGATGATTCAATTGATATAATTGAATATTTTGATAATGTCGTTCTTCAGGTAATTGATGAAAATGTTGGACAGCAGCAGCATTAGCCGGTAAACTAGCTGTTGACATGTTTATATTTCGATTATTATTGTTGACTAATGACGAATTCATCAGATTTGTGGCTGAATTATAACTCAATTGTGATTCTGGTCGCATAGAATTGACTGAATTATTATTATATGTTAATGGAATAGTAGTACCAGCAGCAGCAACATTTGCGGTGCCCATTTGATTACGATAATTATAATTCAAGGGTAACGGCAATGAATTATATCCTATGGTTAATGAAAAAAAAAAATATAAATTTCACTTTTGAATATTTATCGAGTTGGACATTATCTTACCAGGCATGCCAGTCTGTTGTGAAGCTGCAACCGTTGGAAATTGTGATAGCATAGGACTGTATTGGCCGGCTGTAGTTGCAGCTCCAGGGAATCGATGTATACCACCATAATCAGGTGCAAATCGAAGTCGTAAATCTAATAAAGAGATAAAAATTTTTAGTGTTTCAAGTTATAGAAACAATTGAATTGAATTACTTTTGGCCATCATTGCTGCCGCTGCAGCAGATGGAACTTGTTGTTGCTGAGTCAGAATACCGCCTAGTCCATGATAAAGTGCTCCTTGTTTAGCAATCTCTAATGTAACCACAGGTCCTGTTTGAGTCATCAATTCTGCAGCTTTTTCTTGGGTGATTCCAATCAACGTTTGCCCATCAACTTTTAACAATTGATCACCAGCTTCTAATCGACCATCCTGTAATTGAATTAGAATTTAATTGGATTAGATCAAACTAAATAAAATATTTATTTTACCATATCAGCAGCTCCTCCTTTCACGACCGATTTGATATAGATGCCTGATTGAGTTTGATTAGTACCACGAGCAGCTACAATGCTCAAACCAATACCGTTATTAATTTTTTGAAGTTTGATCACATGAACCTCTGGTTCTGGCATCATCCGAACAGTTCCATATGCAGATGCTGGACCATAGCCAGGGGCCATCATAATTCCTAATGGTTTAATAGGCGGTGGCAATGTTTTTGATTGTTGTTGTCCATGCAATAATTGTGGATGTCCAACAAATTGACTCGACAAGGAATTTTTATCTGAAATAGATCCACGATTTTTTTGATCATCATATTCTTGATATGGTATCGATGTTGGTGTTGTCTGTTGATCGGCCTGAAAATTAATGAAATAAATAGTCCAGTAACCAGAAGCCGTAGGCTGAATGGTTAAACTACAAATTCGAGCTTGTACCAATGTTTGGACAAACTCTTGCAAACCGGTTGGTATACCGCGGACAATATCACAGGAATAGCCATCTTCAGGCAACAGGAATGGCAATTGTAGATCACTTTCTTCTTCTAATCGAATTTCACGACCATCTTTGATGATCAATTCATCGGTGGTATTACGAGCCATTTTTACCATGTTTTGAATGTTATCGGAAGTGAACGATACCTCATCTGGTAAAGGTTGATAACGTTCACATAAAGCTCGTAATTGAATGGAATTCAATTTGTAGAAATTTGCAACCAATGCATTCAGATCTTCTGGACATTTTTTAGGTCCTTGTAAAAATAATGCTGTCTGAATAATACGTGACAGATGACATTCGGCTGCCAGTTCAAGTCCTTGTTTTTCAGCCCATAATTCAATCTGTGCTAAACATTGTTTCAATTTTATCCCGTAAACACGAGAACAGAAATTTGATTCGGGAGTACCGATCACTTTATTGAATAACCACATGTTGATAAAATGAAATAACTGAGAGAACAGTTGAATAGTGAGCGCTGCATTGACACGAAAACGTCGTAATAGCTGCATCGAATTGGATAAAACTTTCAAAATGTTCTGGGTCATCGTATCCATAGCATTGTTGGACTGATCAACGATATCCTTTGTGAATGTAGATAATACTTCTTGCAATTCATTTTGTTGACAAGCGACCAAAAGATTAAAGGCTATTTGAACAGATTCGGCCATAATATCTTGTGAATCAAATGTGAATGCGCTAAGATGGCGATCATTTTTTAGAAAATGTAAAATCTCCGATGAATTTGCTAACCAAAAAGCTAACGATGATTGATTAGTATGATTCTCATTAATAGCTCGCTGTATCATGTTAGCATATTTGATGCAAAATGCAATTAATAGTTCGGCACGAATTTCCGGAGTAATTTCCGGTTTAAAATATGTAGAAGCTCGATATCGTGTGACCATGTATAACGAATAAGTAATGCATAGCTTGAATTGCACCTGATTTGGATCGATTCGCTTGATGATTGTTGTTAAAAATAGGTCCTCTAGTTCTTCACCCACTTCTAATATGGCAGGCAATATGTTGTCACCTTTTCTTATTTGTGGTTGATTATTCATCGCAATCGGTAACTGCCCCGGTACTTGTCTAATAGGCATCATATTTGTCTCAATATTCGAGGCGATACTTGATCGAGGTAAACTACCCAATGTTTGATGCCGTTGTAATGATCCTGTATTGTACATATTGGCCACTGGTTCAGGTTTACTCGATGTTTCAACTTTACCATCAGCATCAAATGTAGTTTCATATGAAGGATTTAGTGAAGATGTGGGTGATTTTAGTGGATCATTCATAAGCAATTGTTGAGAATGATGACCAACCGATGGTCCGGCAGAAATTTGGGAATGTCGTTTAAGTAGATTTTCATCTACAAATTTAAATGTTGATAATTTACCGAATCGTACTAACATGCCTGGTTTTAGTACGGTTGTTTCGTAAATTTTGGTACCGTTGATAAAAACTTCCGCTTCACGATTACTGGGTGTGACGATGATTATACCATCAGTATTTGCAATCGTACAATGATGTGGTTGAATACTTGGTCCATAAAGCTGTAACGTACTAAGATTTGGATTCGGCGATTTTTCGGCAATCACATCGACATCGGTACCGATTTCAAGAATACTGGTATTCAAATAGTGACGTTTAGGAATGACTCCCTGTCGAAATATTTCATTACCATCCGGATCAACTTCTACCAAATATGGCAACATTTTATTGGCTGTAGTTGTTGATTCACAATATTCATCACCAGCGCTAGCAGCATTAGCAACACCACCGATCGATTCGATCATTTGATTGCCAATTTTTTTCTTACGTCTTCTTGGTTGAAAATCTGGTGGTCGTCGTCGGATATGGAATGTTAATACACCACGTGATTTATTATGTGATCTTTCGATTATCAATGGACAATCATCATCATCGAGAATATATTCACGAATACCAGTTTGAGAAGTATCGGGTAAAGATTGTGGCCCATTCGTAACACCATTGGTTGTAGCATCGGAAATACTACCATTATTTAAATATGGTACAATTACTTGAACCAAACAATACTGGGCAGGATCTTCTTTATCTTTACCATATTTTTCAAGAATTTCTTTGACGGCAAAAGAAGCCGTATCTCTAGTTGATAATAATATTGTTTTATAAGGTACATCTTGATTAATTGATTCACCAAATATTCGTAATGTTCCGCCTGCTTCAGGGCCACCTTCCTGACTGAATTGTTGCAATTTTTTCTCAAGTTTTTGTTGTCTTCGTCTACGCATCACCGCTTCCGGATTAGAAATGGATCGAGTAAAACTAGTCTCGGGTAGTTCTGTATATAATTTTTCGGCTAGCGAATCTTTTCCATTTTTACCGCCATCTTTATTCGATTTACTATTGTTGGCTGCTTTCTCCTTTTTTTCTTTCTTCTTTTTCTCTTTCTTTTCACGTTTTGATAATTTACGGTTGAATATATTGCTATTTTCCGGGCTGAATCCGGGAAGCTATTTTATGATTGTTGTTAATGTTGTTGTTTTTATTAATTTAAAACATGTACAGAAAAAAAATGAAAAATCATTAAAATTTAGAAAACAAATTCACATTGACATACATAAGTTTTTTCATCCATTCGTCGTAATAGAAAACGACCTTCACGATCATCTTTATGCCAATTTAATTGAACTAATAATGGAAATTCTGAATCGGCTAGTTTACGTTCCTCTATTTTAATATATATTTTATAGAAACAAAATTATTTTTATTTAAGAAATTAATTTGTTTGATTTTTTTTTATCAAATCAAATAGTTTATTTACCTCCATTTTCATGTATTTCATATAATGCATATTCAGGTACGGAAAGCATACGTATATCGGGACGAAATTTTTCAATTAAATTATTAATAACATCAGCTGTTGATGCTGTCGATGATATTCGCATACATTTTGTTGCAACTTTTTGTCCAGCATCTTGAAAATAAAATCTCATTACACCATAAAATTCCAGATCCTATCAAACAAAAAAAGTAATAATAAAATTAAATTTATAAAAATAACAATGAAAACAATTAAGTACAAAAAAATTCATTAATTATTCTCATCCATTATAATTTCAATCATTTAAGTTATTTATTTTTTAAATTCTAAAAAATTGGCGCGCGCTTTTTTTCTCTCTCTCTTTCTCTCTTCATCCATCATACGCGAATTTTTTCTTTTCACAAACTCAACCTACAAGCAAAACCACCAGATTTTAACCGTTTTTTTTCTCTTTCTTTGCGTTGTTTGTATACTACCCGGGGTGATCAATATTATAGCAAGGTCAGATTCTTTTCTCTATCCTCTCAATGGCTTTACCTGAAAATCACATACACTTGTTGTTGCACAGCAAGACAATAACAGCAACAGGTCAGCAACCACCACCAACCACCACCATAATAATTATTTTAAGAAAAAAAAAATATTTAGCTCTCTAACCATTATCCTCATCATCATTATCATGATCAATGATTATCACCATACATACATGGCAGATTGTAAATGAATGTTATGGAAGAAAAAGAAGTGCAAAAAAAAAACTTGTTTGGACCAGTCAGCAATCTTTTTTTTACTATTAAACATTGGGTCGTCGGCAAATTGATGGTGGTCGACAATGAAGATGATGATGATGATGATGACGACAAAAGCAACGTACGATATTCTTACCTGGTATTTAGTCGTACGTTTTTTTTTCAATTCAATTTCTCAATGTATTGAAATGTTTGTAGGTAAAATCAAATTTTTCTCTTGTTTTTATTTTTGAAAAAAAAGGATTTTCATTTTAAAACAAAGTTTGGAAAAAATAAAATTGCTATATTTAACGATGATGACAATTGCAATTCGTGGAAAATCTTGTCATCTTTATGATAGAAAAAATATTTACTTCAGCAACTAATACACAATGAAAAGAAGGATTTGTGTGTGGATGCTGAAATAACTGGCTGAAGATGGTCGTTCTCTTTTTTTTTGGTCATCATCCGATTGACCAATGAATAAAGATAGGAACAAAAAAAATCAATGATTGCTGATTATGATTGAAATACATTCAATAAACATAATTTTCAAAATGTAACATGACAAGATATTTTGGTTGAAAACAAAAAATTGATAAATATTATCTTTTCCCGACACACTATCATCATATAGATAGATAGATAGTGTACACAAACCCGGGAAAACCAAAATGGAAAATAATTATTTTAGTGTTAATGTAGTATATTGCCAAAATGAAATACAATCATATAAATCTACGAAATTACATTCAAGTTACATTATCAAGATGATAATAACATTTGTTTGTTTGTTTGTTTGTTTCAATTTACCTAACAAATAACAACAACAATTTACATTTTTGTAAAAAAAACTGTCATCAAGTTTGAGATCAAATTTTATAATATCTGATTGCTCTCTCTCTCTCTCTCTTTCTTTCGTTTCTTTTTTTTCTGAACAATTCACAACCATGCCTAAATTTTTATCCAATTGATAAGAATAACATTCTTTTCTTGTCTCTATCACATTCCAAAGAATGTTCGAAGAATAAATGGAATTGACAAGAGACATTAAACATTTGAACGCAACAAATTTGATAGATGTGAAAAATCGAAAATTTTTAAGATAAAATTATGAGACAAAAATATTGTTTAATTCCATCAAATTATAATCAAGTTTTGATTTTGATTTAAATTTTTCTTACCTCATTTGGTTCACTAATTTCAAACAAATCCAAACGATTGGCATTCCATTGAGCAATTATATTACGAAGATTTTCACGTTCCTGTGCACGTTGTTTAGCGGTCATTGTAGAAACAATTGTAACGGGTGTTGCTGTTGATGCTGCTGTAGTTGTTGTTGTTGTTGTTGTTGTTAATGATGATGATGATGATGACGATGTGGCCATCGATGTAGCCATTATCATTGTTGTTGTTGTTGATGCTGCTGCTGCTGATGATGATAAAACTCTTTGATTTATATGTGATGGTATTGTTGTGGTGGTCGACATTATCATTTTATTTGTTAGGCGTATCCAATAATTTTATTTGGAATGATAATAATAATTAAACATCAATATCAAATTGTTATTCACGAATCTTTGGCTTTAAAAATTCATTCAATCAAAAATGTTTGATGTTTTTTTTCCTCCTTCATCATCGTCGTCATTGTAGTCACATTTTGAATTCTATTTTTGGAAATAGTAAAATTTAAAAAAAAAATGAATGAATTATATTTTAAAAAAGTGATAATAATAATAATTTTTTTTGTAACTTGAATGTTTAAGACAGGAATGATAATAGTAAATTAAGCTTTACTTATCAATCAATCACAAATATGATGACACCTAATTTAATCCATTGGTTCATTTCATTTCATCTGATCCATGCAATTATTTGCATCACACAAAATCAAGATAAAAATAACAAATACGAATAATCAAATCGAATCATATCAATCAATCAATCAAAACAACAACAAAAATAAATTGATTTTTTTCCTAATGATATTTAATTTAATTGTTCACATTTTGTTTTTATTTTCATGTTGGTAGTAATCATTTGATTACAATTTTTTTTAAAAATAATGTTAATGATAAAATCGAGTACAATCATACTATAGAAATATGAATAAAAGAACAAAAAATGGATTTCATCAATAGTTTCATTATTTAATATTGATATTCCGTGGCCAATATTTAATCAATGACTATAGGATGTTGACGATCATCATTATCATAATGATTATAATGATCATCATCATCATCATCATCATTACGATGTAATGCTATTTTAATCAATTTTTTGTTTTCACAAATGTTATTGATTTGTATTGATTGAGCTTCTTTTTTTTTACTATCTGGATGATTGTCATTCATTCATCATCATATTATTTTGGCATGTGTGTGTGTGTATTTGATTGATTTGTATTATGTGATTTCAATTTGATGGTGATTTAAACTAACAAAAATTCTGAATATTATTCTATTGATCATTAGTGTATGAGGAAATGTTTATAAAAAAAATATTTTTGAATTTGAACAAATCTCATAACCGATGTTACGATAATGATGATGACAAAATCAGACCAGATTTTTATACAAAAAAAAAGTCAAGTAATCATTTCTGGGAAAATATAACATTTTTTTTAACATTGCCAAAAACGATAATTTCAACGAAAAAAAAATGAATAAATAAATATGAACATTTTAAGTCGATTTTTATTGTGGTGAAAGATTTCTAATCATTATCATTTATTTATGATGACAAAAATCGAACAACAACAACAGAAAAGAAGGAAAAATTCAGTTTTCTATTCATGAATTCCAGGAACAAAGTGAAAAATAAATAAATATATTGCCTTGTTTGTTATATGATGATGACACGCGATTTATTCAATCGTTTCAAGCAATGGATGATTATGAATGATCTGATTGATGATGCTTTAAAGCAATAACAAGTTTTTTAATGATGTTCTCTGATCTTCTTTCCTTTTAACTGATTGACGAATTGAAAAGGATCGTAAACAACACAACACAACAGTAAGAAAAACCAACATAAAGTTTTTGGGTCGATAGTCGATTGTCAAATCGAATATAATAAAATAAATTTGTTTTTCTTTCGTTTCATTCTTTTCTTTCATTGAATTTTCCTTCACCAAAGAAAAAAAACCGATTGTATCGTACGGAAATGAAAAAAAATGACAAATACACAGACACTTATGGAAAAAAAAGTTTTTCCTTTCAAACTTTTTTTTTGATAGAAAATTATTTTTTTTTGTGGAAAAATAAGATTGTTATTCAAATTTAAGGAGGAAAAATCAAAATTTTTTTACCAACAACAAAAAAAATTGAAAACGACCTGTTGCGTCACACACACACACATGTATCAATATTGGTTTTTCTTTCAACCGATAACGGTTATCGATCATTAATCCAATCAATGATCAGGATAATAATTGTGTAATAATTTAGGCAAAAATTATTTTTCTTTTTTGACCAGAGAAAAAAAATCTATCAAAAGCTAAATACTAGTCACCGAATGTATGATATAGAGATAAAACAAAATTTATCAACAAACAAAAAATTAATTACAAGATCAATCCATACCACAGGGAAAATCATACATTCAATTTGTTGTTTGTTTCCCATTGATTAATGAAAAAAAACTGATATTAACATGATTGACACAACATCATGATCATCATCAACGAAATAATAATGATGATGATGATGATCACATTTCTCACGCATCGTAAAACGATATTATCATTACCATCATCATCATCATCATTTGATTTAGGATATATCGATATAAACAAATAAAAATCTAAATATACCATTGCTAAAAATTTCTTTGAGAAATTATGAAAATTAAAATGAAATGATCGAAAAACAAAAACAAAACAAGATCAATCAAATGAATGAATATCAAACTATATACAGAAACAAATAAGGTCAATGGAAATTTTTATATATTAAAAATGATTTTCCTTTAATCAATAATTATTTTGGACTTGTTTCCGTGGAATATCAACACCATATGAATCATCACTGGGTGACAAAACAAACAAAACAAAAATATTTCTATTTTTTTTAAGCTTATCACACATATATCAACATTCATTTATTTACATTGATGATGATGATTATTTTGATTTTAATCTAATCAATTATATTTTATTTAATTTACGAATGATAGAATATTTTTCTGATGTACCAAAATATTATGAGTTATAATTGAATTACAAACAAACAAAAACACATACCGTATTAATTTGAATGATTTTTGATTGAAAATTTTATATTTTCAAAATATGAATGAAAAAATATTTTGAATAAATAAATAATTATTTATAGAAGAAGAAACAAAAACAATGATAATATAAATTTTAGATTCGAAAAGATGTTTCACTTTTTAATTTCACAATTTAATTTGTTTGATTTTGTCAAATTGATTTTTTTCTTGAATAAAATCAATAGTTTGGAATTTTTGTATTGATGACATAATTTTTTTTTCGCAACATATTACACAATTTGTTGATAATTTAATTAATTTTGTTGATTTTGGAATTTCTTTTTCCTATTTTACAATTTTGATCATTTCCTGATCGAAATTTTTTTTCATTGAATTTTCACATTTATTCATTTATTGATTTTTTATACATACACAATACGGGAAAAAAACAAAGGATATCATTTAACAAATTTTTTTAGAAAATTAAATTCTTTTTTTTTCATTGTCGTTGTCACATCATACATACACAAACACAAGTAGAGTATTTATTAACAGAAAAAATATTTAGAAACGAAAAAATTATTTATTCAATGATGGTGACGAAGCATCAAATAGAAGATGATGATGAGATTTGATGCCGCGTTGATGCGCGCCGTATATTCACCATCATCGCCATCATTGCAAAACGAAAAGAATAGGAAAAAAACAACAAGGTAAAAAGAAACAAGAGAAAAAATCAACAGGCTAACAACAAGCTATATTCGAGTGTATAGAGCGCGAATTTTTTTTTCTCCACTTTTAATATCATCAAAGTAAAAACAACAACATCAATTCAGTTTTGGTTGATTTGTCAGTTGTAATAGTGGTAAAATATACTTCTTATTGGTGGTGGTATTTCATTAATAATATCAACGACGTTTGATTTTCTCTCTCTCTCTCAGTTGATGATGATGGTAACAACAAAATCCTAATGATTTTTTTCTGGTCTCAATGGATGGATGGATGGATGGTGATGATTATTGCAATGAATCCCAGTATGCAGAGATTTTTTTTTTGCCACTACCCTCAAAATTGAAAACATGGATTCATCATTTATTGATCGTCTGATTTCTCTACTACTACACAATTCATTTCGAAAATAAAGATCCAGAAAAAAAACAACTAATATTTTAAGATTAAATGATGAGAGAAAAACAAAAATTTCCAAGAAACATAGAATGCGCGCAATCAATTCGAATGCAACAAACAACAATACATTCATTATATGCTCACCCCGCCGCTATAGCGTAAGTTTTTGCAATGGATATTGGTTGTTGTAATTGGCAAAAAAAGCTGTTTTTTTTCTGGTTGTTGAAATTTGTTTTCGAAAAAAAATCTTGACCACTACATTCGAGAGTTTTTCTTTTCTTGTTTGGTGTTATACACACACCATAGGAGGGAATTCCAGCCAAAAAAAAGGAAATCATTTTGATTTGAATGTTTTGAATTTAAATGCCTCTACTTCGAACTTAATGGAACAAAGAAGAAACCAGAAAAAAAATTCAAATAAGAAAAAAATGGCCAACAAAAGGTAGTGGAACTATTTATTGTCCACATAATCTGCTAGGCCTGCAGCAAAAAAAATCATTCGCAATTCAATTTTGTATGAATGATGAAGTAAGAGCAATGAAAAACCTTCGCAACCTGGGTACTAGTTTCAAACCACTATTTTTTTTTTGTCGCTGTGCAAACATGTTGCTTATTTGCTGAGGTAATTCGCTAAGGTAATTTTTTAGATTGTCTGCATTTTTTTCTCTGATCGAAGAAAAAAAAATGAACGTTGTGTAATAATATAATCATGATAAATGGCGGGCAATTTGATTTTTGTTTGTCGTTCCACAATATTCAACTTGTGTTGATGTTCGATTGCAGAACGACAAACTTAAAAAAAAATAAATAAATAAGAGAAAAACAAAACTAGAACCTTGTTGCCTCATATAAAACGTGAATCCAAGTTTTGAACATCAGCTTTTAAATAAAGCATTTAATTTCTCTTGGACAAACAACAAGTGGACGACTATTGTATAAAGCCACCAGTACATTTTTGTTTTCTTGCATGTTGTTGGTTCTGTTTCGGAAGATTTTTTTTTTTAGTTTCGTTTTATAATAATTGCTGAATATGAAGAACGTGAAACGTGGCCAGCAGCAACAAGGTAGACAGATATACCTGCGCACCAAAAGCAACAACAAAAAAAAAACACAGAAAAAGAAAAAGATATTTTCTTTTGGGCGCGGTATAAATGCTATAGCAATAAGGGCTAGTTTTTCCTATATTCATTTTACATAGATGGTGGTCATTTTTGTTGTTGTTTCAATATCATTTTTTTCTAGATTAAAGATATAAAATTATGAAATTATCAATCAGCAAAATAAAAAATAATAATAATAAAGAAAAACAATGATAACGAAGGATTAAATAATCGTTATGAAACAAAGAGAGTAAAAGATCTGATCAATACATTTTTCTTCTTATTTTTTTTTTTGATTCAATGAAGAATAAGCATCTTAATAATAGGAATTGTTGCCACCTGTTGACAATCATATCAAATAGATTATTATTTGAAACAATTTAAGAAATTATTATTAAAGGTAACACATACATCCATTCAATGGACCGATCAATCATATTGTTTAAAATGTGATAATGTTTAATAAATTGTATCGATTATTTTTAAAATATATTGAGAATATTATATATTGATTGTTTGTATATGATAAAGTTATTATATCAAATCATTTTGTATGTTTGTATTAAATTAATGAATTTTAAATGAGAGAGAAAAAAATTTAGATATTTGTTTTTTTTTTGATGGGAAAATGCAAATTTATATTTCACCCAAAATGTGATATGATAAATTTCATTTTTGTGTTAAAAAATGTTAATTAATAAAAATATATTGATTAATTATTTCAATGTATTTTGTTGTTGTAAATCATTTTCCATTCGGACATCCGATACGATGGATTTTTTTTCTTCACATATTTCCAACAATGTTATTATACTTCATCAATCGATTCTCCATTTTGACCATTACGATATTTGGCTGGCAAAACACATCGACCTTTTTGGCAAAACTAATAAATTTTGCAAAAAAAAATGGAGAGAAAAACAAATTAAAAGCAATTTTTTTCGAGTGAAAAAAAAACAAACGATAATTAGTTGAATTTTCTCATTTTATCTTAACAAAACTATTGCTATAAATAATGAATAAATTTTCAAACAAAAAAAAACTGATCCTAATAAATATGTCACTTTTGATTTTTAAAAAAAGCAAATCCAAATGAACATATGGAATATTCTATCATAAATATAAACAAATTCAAACATATGGTCATAAACATCGTTGTTTTACTAACAATTATTTTATGAATTGTTGTTGTTGTTGTCAGGTTATTTTAACACTTATGATATTAATCATTTTATGATTGATATCATCATAATATTAGTGTATAGAAACCAAACAAAAAAATCATAATTCTTAAGAATACATACTCGTGGATTAGTACCGGTTGCACATTGTACATCATCAGGTGTATAAATATCTTCCATATCTTTTTGATTACCACGAAATATAATACGACAAGATGTCATACATGGTGAACCATCCAATCCTCGCTGCATAAAACAAAAAAATTTTCGAATGAATATTATGGATGAAATATGGAATAATGAATTTGAATCAACTTATCATTAAAATTTATTAGCTTACATTTACGGCAACTACACGTGCACGATCATCTTTATATGTACGTTTTACTTCGTTAACATGTTCAGACCATTTAACACGACATGCATTATGCTCGACAGGTGTTGGATTACGACCAACAGCCAATGACCATCCGATAAACATTGAGAAAATTGTCACCATGATTGATGCTGTCGAAATTTTTACCATTTTTGCTGTTTTAATGTTTTTTTTCACTTTGGTGAAGAAAATTTGAATAAAACAAAATAATAAATAAACTAACAGAAAAAAAATTTATTCAAATTTGAATCAAGTTTACGATATGAACGATATGAAATGAATGATTGGATATGTATGGCTTTTTATGGATGAAATGAAATCCGGAAGATTTTTTTTCAAATGATTATCATTGAAACTAGGTTACTTTGAAAATTAGAAAATTGGGAAAGAGGGTAGCGGAAGTATATCGACAAATTTTTCCCAATTTTATTTAAATCATCACTATCGTTTTCCGTACTCAAAAAAAAAATATGTAGGAGGAATACAAAAGTTTTTTTATTTTACACCAATTTTTTCTTTCTAGGATTTTTTCCATATTTTTTTTTTATTAAATAAAATAATTTGGCAACAAATAAATTTTTTTTTTCTGAAAAATACAAATTAAAACTGACTATATGAAAAAGCACTAGAAATGAATTGATTGGCCCAAAAAAATAAAAATAAAAATAATGATTAGAAAAAACATTTACATTTACGAATGGATGGATGGATTTCTAACAATTTATGAAGATGATGATGATGAACATTCATCAGCTGAATCGGTCATCGTCCACCATGTATCCGGATAATGATATTTCTGTATTTCTAGACCTTCACGTGGTACATTTATAAATAATGATGGTAAAAATTCTAATTTTGGTAATTGTTCGATCGATTGTCTTGATTTGTGTTGTGAAACATTTTTCTTTAAAGAATTTTTAATCATTTTTTCATCATTATTATTATCGATTAGATTTGTTGGAAAACAATGTAATTGTTTGCACATTGTTGATGGTAATAAACGACTACGCCAACCGATTCGACGATACATATCTTCTTGTGAATCTTTTTCAAATACATGTATTCGTGCATGTATGGTGAATAATATTGGATGTAATTCTTCTTCATCAATTTTTGTTTCTTTAATACCATCGGCATCAAAATCTCGTGGTATGGTCATATCGATTAATCGTGTAGTCGGTTTTAGAATATAAATACCATCTGAATGAATATATTGCAATTGAATGCCATTATTACGAAAACGTCGTTCAATAATGGATTCATCATGACGTTGAAGATCTTCATTCAATATGCATAGATTAAAACACGCATCTGTTATTTTCAAGCGAATTTTGGTTATATTTTTTCGTTTATGATGATCAATATTTGCACGTTTCAATGTTGACCAAAGTGTTTCATAACAAAGAAAATGTGTTACTTCAAGCATATCGAATGTGTTGATGATTCGTCGTATGAATGTTTCAAATACAAGCATCGCCAACGGAGTCATTGGCTCACATCTATTCATATTGGTTAATAATTCTAATTGTGAATCATAATTATCATGATTATGTATTGATGGTGCACAAAACAGTTGATAAATGATATAGATAAAACCAATGGTTAAGAATAGAATTAAAATTGATTGTCTTGGATGGAATAGAATATTTAGACGAACACGACGTACAAAACGTCTAGTTTGTTGACCATTTAATAAACGCCAATTCATCGACATGTTTTTCATATAAATGTGTGTGTACAAAATAGAATATATATTTGATTTTATCAAAATAATGATGAGTGGATGAAATCGAATTTAAACACCTTTTGCTTTTGACAACACTTTTACAATACTGTATGTTGATTAGAATGAACAGAGCAAATAGACATGGATAAGAGGAGTAAATATCACAGATATATGGATAGTAGATTCTTTATTATTTTGATTCCTTTCTTTGAATTCTTATTGATTGGAACAAATTCGTTGAGCCATATATCACAAGAATTGAGAGACAACATATTTAATAATCAACTATTTCGATCCAATAAGCGTTAATGCATCATAATAGTATATTATGGTTGGCTTTATATTGAACGAATATTGCTCGTAAAATTTATTTATTATTTGAACATTGTTGTTGTGAATTGTGTTTATAATTGGATTTGACTTAAAATTAATCGATGTATTTGATGAAAAATTAATTATAGTATTTGGATCAACTATCAATTAGACGCGCGAAGAAAATGTCAGCAAAAAAGATTGGTAAAAAGCCTAAATATCCTGATCCAAATATTATCGATGAATATGCCACAGCAGAATTACAACAACGATATGATATTGATGATGAACCGAGTCGGGGTAATGAAGGTGATGATGAAGATGATGATGATGATGATGAAGATATTGAACGTAATGTTGTTGATGATGATGATGATGATGATGAAGTAGTTGTCGATGAAGATCCAAGTTCAAGTTTAGCCACAGGTTCGGGAATGATTAGCCATGGATTAGTTGATCCAATAATCGTAGATCATGATTTCAATCATTCATTAGCACGACAACGACTATCGACCATACAGAATCGTATGCAGAATTTCGAGACAATATTAGCACATCTTAAATGTCAATTAAACGATATGCATAAACATGATAATGAAATGCTTAAAAAAGTAGTCACATTAAATGATGAGATTGCTGAATTAAATCTAATAGAAAGTTATGAATCATCAAAATTAGCTGCAACATTAACATCGACAAATTCCATCAATAATCATCAAACGGAAAATTTTTCCGATTTAGTACTTGCAGCTGCTGATTATGGCCATCATTCACATCATCATCCACAACATTCTCATCATCATTCAATCGATTCATCGTATCATATGATGAAGAATACAAATTATTAGATTATTATTCAAATCATTTATCAAATAATCAACAATCATATTGCATTCCAAACACCAAAGTTGTATTAGATCGATGATAGAATTGAATTCTTCTTTCTCATTTTATCCTTAACTGTGTTTTCCTTAAAAAAACAACAACAAAATTGTGATTCAAATTATCCTTTTCCATTATCAGATATTGAAAATTTTTGCATGTTTTTTTCATTTTTTTTTATTTTGGCTGAAAATTTCATTTCGATTTTTTTTATTCATATCAAAAATTTTTGTTTGTTTGTTTGTTTTGTTTTTTGTCTGCAAAAATAAATTATAAATATTTATGTATTATATATTAATATTTTATAGATCAATATATGCACATTAAATTAAATTTAAAAAAAAATTTCCTTCTTGTTTCTTGTTGTCGTTGTTGTTGCATTTCATCATTCACAAATATCAATAATAAAAAATAAAAATTTAAAAATAAAAATATTTAATAAAAATAAAAATTATAAAAATAATAGAAAAAAAATATATTTCAAAATCAAAAACATTAATTTCAGTTTTCTTTTTTTTTCACTTCGGATATAAATATTAGATGATGAGATATTGGATCGAAATTTTTTTTGTTCTTCAATTCTTAGTTTCATATTCATTTTGCGAAAGAAAGACCACAGTGAGTGAGTGTATTGTTTTTGTGTGATAAGTGTGACCAATAATTTTTTTTTGAAAATTGAATTAAATTTCAATTTTTCATTTGTTATTTGGATGAATATTGTTTAATCAAATGATTCACAATTTTAATCATTGACGATAAATCGGTTGATAATTCCTGATTTAAACGTTGTAAACGTTGATTTGATTCATTTAACATACGAATCGATTGTTGTAGCTCATCAATTTTTGTTGAATTTCTATTTCAAGAAAAAAATGAAAATAAAATTCAATTTTGAATATGAATTAACTTACTCAAATGGAATGACTGTGATACCATTATTATTGTCACATTTTCCTGGTTGTTTTTCGAATCGATTTTCAACCATACGAACATGGTCAATAATTTGTTTCAATGTTTGTAGGCCATTTAAATCTATTTTTTAAAAATTTAGTTAATTTTGAAAACGGAAATTGAATGAAAAATTAGAGAAAAACACCAACCTGCTGCTGATAAGGATGTTGGTGGTGGTGGTAGTGGAAAAGAATTATTACGAATAAAAAATTCATTTGGTGAATTTTTATTATTCGAACGATTATTAATAATTTTAAATGGTGAAAATTGTTCACGACATGAATCAATTGAATTCGATGATGTGAATGAATCATTTAATGATGATCGTTTACTATCATTATTATTATAATTATTTTGATCTGATTCAATTACAATAGAATGTTCTAAATCAACTAATGCAGGCGATGTTGGTGATACACGTAATGGTACCGGATGACGAATATTCGGATTAGTAGCAATAACATCAGTTATATTGTAATCAAAATTAGCAAGTTTAGCTGGTGATGTACTTGATACAATATTATTACTATCAATACTATTCGGTTTGATTTTTGACATGTTTGGCGAATCATTAAATCTGGTCCAATTTTGGCTATGCCTTCGTTGACAAGATGATGATGATGGATCATTTTTCATTAATGAGATAGCAGCACCATTTTCTTTATTATCAATTGTATTAACATTGGAATGTTGTTTACTACCGCTACTAATTGATCGTACAATACCATCAACTTGCTGTGTATTGATCGTATGAAATAATGATGATGATGTTGTTGTTGTCACTGTTGACATCATCAATCGTCGATGAGCTTTCCGCAATGGTGATGGAAGATGCTTAGGTAATTCCACCTTATTACGTCGAAGTACAACTAGATGCATGGCAACACAGAATTCAGCAAATGATAGGCCACCATCTTCATCGATATCGGATAATTTCCAAATATGTGACAAATCTTTTATATCGAGACCGGATTTTTCGAAAAATATTTTGGCAACATTACCATGTATTGTACCGGTGGGACAATTACGTTGTAATAATTGAAATTGTTTCGTATAATATGATTGTTGTTCGGTCGTTATCGACCAGAGATCCAATGAACAAGAATCATTATCATCATCTAAATCAAGTCGATCTAAATCTTATAGATCAATGAGGTTAAGGAGAGAAAAAAATATGTTTATTTTAAATGAATGAAAAAAAAATTCACAATCATTGTTACCAATATTATCCATAGTAAATTGGCCATAATTATTCTGTTCGGGCAATGATGTTGTTGTTGTTGACAATGTTTTCATTGAATTAGCTGCAGAAATTTGTTGTTGTTGTTGATGACTATTATCATTATTATTATTAAAATGAGTCTTATTAAATTGATGAATTTGGTTATTGTTGCTGCTAATATCTGGTTGATGACAATTATTATTATTATTACTGCTACTATTATTGTTATTGTTGTTAAACTTTGTATCTGTTGACGTTGATGATGATGATGATGATGATGATCCGGAAATCGTATGTACCCGTTTTAATTTCAGCTTGGCTTTGGTTGGTGGCTGTGGTGGTGGTGGCAATACTATTTTCTCTCTTATATATCATTGAATGTAAAATATTGATGATGATATTTCAGGAAAAAAATTGTGTTATGATTTTCATTTCAAGGAAAAATAAAACAAAAACAAAATTTCAATAAATTAATCTCATTTTAAATTTATGTTTGAAAAGAAATCTTTTTTTTTCATTATAAACTTACTTATCAAAGTTGGACATTTTTTTTCACTTTCTGTCTATCTTTCTTTCGTTCGATCGTCACTCACACTTTAAAATCACATTCGAATGTTTATTGATGAAAAAATATTTAAACAATAAAACTTATGAGCCATAACTGTAAATCAATTAGTGTTGTTTGTTGTTGAATGTTTGTGATGTAGAGATAAATAGATTTTCTTCTTTTCTTTTTCCTCTTCTTCATTCAGCGATTCAATAACTTTGATGAAATATATGAAAATGATTTGTCAAACATATCATCATCGGTTGTTTGATTTGATGGATCATAATTTTCAAAGAAAAGAAAAAATGATAAATAAAGAAAAACAAATGTTATTAATTAATTGAAATGAATGTTTTTGTTGTAAACAACAAAAAAGAATTGAAAATACAAAATCATAATAACATCATACATTCTTATTTTTAAAAAAATTGAATTAAAATTTCAAAAAAAAATCTTTTCATTTTTTTACCTTGAGATATCTTAATATACCCTTTTCAAAAACCAAAAAAAAAAAAGAATTAGCTTATTAGCTTACGTAGCCCATCAACATTTTCAGATATTTTTTTATTCAATACAGAAACAAATACAATACACAACAACATACAACAATAAAAAAAAATTAGAAATTTAGTCTGTATATTTGTATATTACACATTATATAATAAATATGATGATAATACTGGTTATATTCAATTTAAATGTATATTTTTTTTTGCCCTGAATAATAAGATAGAGAGGAGAGAGATAAAAAAAAAGTCATGAATCACATAATAATGACAACAACAACAAAATTGTGCAATAAGGTGAAGAGAAACAAGAGAGAACACAGAAAAAAAAAGAGAAAAAGAAAAATCCAGACCATACTCGTTTCAACAAGGTGTCATTGCATTTATGAATTGGACAATAAATACCTGATTGATAAATGATTGTTTGCATTGTTTTTTTTTTGTTAATATAAATAAACAGAATCATAAATTTTTTTATAAAAATAAATTAAGATAAGCCTTATTTTGATCTACTTCTTTTTTTTCATTGAATAATTTATTTGATACCATTCCAACACAACAACAGTATAAATAAAATTTCAGAATTCCAATTCATATCTTTGCCTTAAATGATTTGATTATTTATTGATAAATTTTGACATTCCAATTGAATTTTGCAAGGAACAAAAAAAAGTGTCTTCAATTTAAAATGAAAAAATGCGCGATCATGATACAATAACGGTATGTTTTTTTTTTGTTGTTGTTTATTTTAGTTCATATTTGTTTGCTGTTATCAAATGATGATGTATTATTCGCTTTTTTTTGTTTGCTTCGGTTTTAGATTTCTCCGGCTATATTTGAACATTTAGTTGCTAAAAGTAAAGCTCAAACTGTTAGCAGTGATAAAAAAATTACTGAAGGTGAACAACAACAAACGCCATCTGCAATTTTTAATGAAGAAATTCCATCGTCATCATCCATATCATCGGCAAGACGATCGAATCAAAAAATGTCCCAGTCAGCTGATAATTCCGAAGGATCATTGGCGTTTTCGACATTTGATCCAAATTATATTATGGTCAGTATAAATTATAACCTTAATCTATTGTTTTTATCATGATCATGATCATTATAATTTTATAGAGACATGCAGCATTTGATCCAAGTATTCTATTATATGGTATACGCGGTGAATATGAAAGAAAATTTCAACAGTATCAACAATTATGGCGACAAAAATGGGAAGAATTGGATCGATTAAATAAAGAATTACATCGAAAACATGGTGAAAATTTAGGACAAGAAATTGAACGTATGGAGAAAAAATATTTTCGTGAACATTATGATCATATGGAAAAACCATGTAATGATTCGGAACAATCCGTGATTAATTGTTATGGTAAAAATCCTGGACAACCATTATTATGTCGTCGTGAGGTGGAAAAATTTTCCAAATGTATTGATATGAATCGATTGAAATTATTGAATCAATGATGAAATTGATTCAAATTCAAATAAAAAACCAGAGTAAAATGATATAATTTTTTTTGATCTGAACACTAGAGCAATCGAAATAAAAGAGAAGATTTTTTTCTTCAAAATATTTTCCAATAAAAATTTATAGTTTTGTTAACACCGGATCTATATAATTTTTCTTTCTGATGTAATCATGATGCAATCGATTCCATTTAATAAATTGATCGCATATAATTCCCAAATGTGTTTGAAAAAGAATAATTTTTTTAAAATATATTTTTTTCTACTTTTCTTTTTACATTATAAATTCGTTCATCATTATAATGATGATAAAATTATTTTCGATGGCCATGATTAGTTTCAATTTTATTTCAAATTGAATAAAAAAAACTGATAGATTGAAAGAAAGAGGGAAAAAAACATTTTCACATGTAATAAATGCGATGATCTTTGATCCTTTATTGATATTGATTATCTTAATTTATATCATTATTGATTATAACATTATCATCATGACCTTCGTAAATTTATTCATTTACTCATTTATTTGGATGGAAACAAAAAAAAAATTTTTGGAATCTGTTTAATTGAAATAAAATTGGATAAATTTTTAACCCTTCTCGCCTATTTTTCTTTTTGTCTAATGATAAAAATAAAATTAGTAAAAAACAACCAAACACATGCGTGAGAATACCAAAAAAAAGAAAAGAAAAAAGATTCTGTGTCTTGTATATATCGGATGATATTTTCGTTTGTATATCCAAACACATACACGCACAAATGGTATGATTTTATCCAAAAATCAACAATTTTTTTTTCTTGTTTGTTTTCTTTATTATACGGATGACATGACATGACATATTTATTTTTGCATTTATATTTTTGTTGTTGTTTTGATTAAATATCAGGCCAATATTATCGAAAAAAAATAAAATAAAATTCAAAAATTCCCAGAAAAGAAACAAATATAATATTTTTCAACTACTACCATCATTATCATTATCAAACTGCTACCACCGAATATCATTGAAAATCCATACAACCAAAAAAAAAAGTGAATTCGGATTTTACAATATATAGCGAAAGAAAGAGAAAGAGAAATGGCATGATATAGCATGAATATAACAAAAACGAGAAATTCCACTTGTCTGTATTTATAAAAACAAAATCCAAATGTTAAATAGCTGTATGTGAAAACGAAGAAGAAGAAGAAGAAGAAAAAAACAACTTGTGCCTAGGTTGACATTGAAACATCCTTACATACATTTCAACTATATAATATCTATTTGTTTTTTTTCTATCGCTCAAAATTATCATCAGAATAATCTTTTGTTTTTTTTTCGAATGTGAAAAAATATTTGCTTGGTGTATATGAACAAAAACCAAACATCATAAATAAATTTCATAGCATTTGATTGCATTGCATCGTATCGTACGGCTTGAAATTTACCTTTCTCTTTCTCTCTTACTCATTTTTTCTGGATTCTAATTCATTTCCAATTCAAATTGTATGTACCCGAGAAAAAAAATTTCTCTTTTTTTTTACCTATTATCAATTCATAATTTTAATTAGTTTATGATGTTGAATAATTTTTCTCTTTTTTTTTAATTAATCCCTACTTCAATTAAAATAAAACGAAATGTCAATTTCTTATTTTTAATGTAATCAAGTTTAAACAACAAATAATTATGGCTAAATTCAACTATTTACCTGTCGATGTTCAAGAAGAACTTCGAAACACAGCCAATGCTATTGTTTCAGTTGGCAAAGGTATTTTGGCCGCTGATGAAAGTACCGGTAAGTAAAACGTTTTTTTTTGTGTTCATTGCTTGGTACTAGTTATCAATAAACAGAAATTAATGATTTAAACATGATTATCATGAATGGAAACCTATTTAATTTTTCAATCATCAATTTTAGGAACAATCGGCAAACGTTTCGCCGACATTAATGTAGAAAATGTTGAACAAAATCGTCAAGCATATCGGCAATTATTGTTCTATAGTGAAGGCCTTGAACAATATATTTCCGGTGTTATATTGTTTGATGAAACTGTCTATCAAAAAGATGATAAGGGTGTACCGTTTCCAGAATTGTTGAAAAAGAAAGGAATTATCCCTGGTATCAAAGTTGACACTGGTGTTGTCACATTACAAGGTACCAATGGTGAATCAACCACTCAAGGTCTTGATAATTTGACAAAACGATGCCAAGAATACTATAATCAAGGTTGTCGTTTTGCTAAATGGCGTTGTGTACTCAAAATTGGCCAAGATGAACCATCTTCATTGGCCATTGTTGAAAATGCCAATGTTCTTGCTCGTTATGCTAGCTGTTGTCAACAGGTAAATAAACAATGACATTAATATTTGTTTTAATCTTAAATTGTTTGCTTTTCGACACTATGGATACCATATTTTTAGGCACGCATAGTTCCAATTGTTGAACCAGAAATCTTGCCAGATGGTGATCATAATTTGGAACGATGCCAAAAAGTTACTGAAACTGTGTTAGCCGCCGTTTACAAAGCCCTCAATGATCATCATGTTTATTTGGAAGGTACATTATTGAAACCTAATATGGTAACTCCCGGACAAAGCTGTTCACAGAAAGCCAGTCCACAAGAAGTCGCACAAGCCACTGTAACTGCTCTTCAACGTACAGTTCCGGCTGCCGTTCCTGGTATTGTTTTTCTATCTGGGGGACAATCTGAAGAAGAAGCATCAGTCAATTTGAATGCCATCAATCAATACCAAGGCAAAAAACCATGGGCATTGAGCTTCAGTTATGGTCGTGCATTGCAAGCATCTGCTTTGCGTGCTTGGCAAGGCAAACCAGAAAATATTGGTGCTGGACAAAAAGAACTTCTTCAACGTGCAAAGGTAAGCATATTTTGTTGATACCCATATTATAATATATTATAATCCCTGGTTGATTCTGCATTATATTACCCCATTCAATATTTTTCATATTTTATTTTAAATTGACATTTTTCCAGGCCAATGTCCTTGCACACAAAGGTCAATATGTAGCTGGTTCGATTCCAAGTTTGGCTTCTGCAAAATCTAATTTTGTTGCCCAACATAAATACTAAATGAATTACCTTTACCAATCACATTTGCACATGCATTGACAAGAAGAATGATGAATTTTTTAACCAAACCACAATTCTGCAAATTTTTATTTTAGATCCCAACAAATAGTATCCGACCTGATCCGTTTGACATCATGAAAATTCAAATTATTATTATTTTTTTGCACCCACTTTTATTTTTCAAAAAAAATTCAATAGATTTATTCACTGCTTTGCATGGATAACCCACAATTCGAGCTTATATTTCGATGCTAATCGATAAAGTTTTTGATAATAAAAAATGTTCCCAAATATTCTGAGGTTTTTTTTGATTCTGGTAGATTTTATCACGATGATTTCTTTTTAATTTTTATTATATTTTTTTTTCTTCCTTAAATTGTCAAAATAAAAACAAAAACAGGCAAACAGTTTGTCCGCACAAGGACAGTATACTGGCGGTATCGTTGGCGCCGCTGCCGGTCAAGATTTATTTATTAAAGATCATCAATATTGAAACAAAATTTCATTTTTTTTGGATTCAATCATTTAAGAATTGGATTCTTTAAATATCCTGAATGAAAACCGCTGACAAAATTGATGAACCAAATAAATCAACAACATCAACAAAATATGATTAATCCTGATTTTATTTTTAAAAAAATTTAGATATTCTAGTCTTTCTTTCCTTCTTGTCCATTCGTTTATAATTTTATCAATGAATTTTAAATGATTAAAATATGATGCGAAATAAAAATTTATTTCTTTATTTACCATGAATTTGTTAAATTGAATTGAATTGACAATGTTTTTTTTTTTGATTTTGTTATTAATCATAATAATAAGAATAAAACATGTTGTTTAAGAACAATCAGTACAAGAATAAAACAAACTTATTATATATGTGCAACTACAGAATATCCATTCAAGGTTACTATCATATATTCAATGATAAATGATATTGAATATGAAGAGAAAAAAAATATACAAGAATTATTTTAAATTATTACAATATGATTCTAAATATAGATTTTTTTTCTATCTTTACAATGAATATTCAAGAGAAAAAACTTTTCTTTGTTGACGAAGTTAAATTTGATTTAAATTTCATAGATCAAATTTTCGTTAATTGAAACGCAATCATCATTAAAGTAGTTTGTTGAATTTTGATTGAACAGTGCTTTAATTTGATCAAATAGTCAAATTGTTTAACAATGAATTTGAAACTTCATATCGAATTGAATCGCATTTCTTTCATTGGTATCTAATTTTATTTTATTTATTCAAGTGATTTTAAAGTTTGATTATCTTCTAAGTTGATTATGGGAAATTTTATATCAACAAATGGCAATAATAATAATAATAAAAATTCTTCAAATGAAAAGGTTTGATAATGATTATTATTATGTTATTAATCAAATTCATTTATATATGTGATATGTTTGTTTAGCAAAATGATTCCAATGATCAAGATCAAGATCAATTTACTACAAGAAATTTGATCGATGCAGCACTATCTGAAATAAAAAATACAAGATCTTCAGCATTGATATCATTGCCGATCAAAGACAGTAATGAAAATCTTTTGGATCACAACAATAATGGTGGTAAATTGATTAATCTATTATCTCAGAATAGTATAAGTATCAATTTGCCAGAAATTCTGGATAGTCAAGACGAAATAAGTGTATTACGATTACTTATCAAATTATTATCCGGTAAAGTTAAGAAACTACAAGAAGAAAATTCCTATTTATATGAACAGATTAATGTTATATATGATATTAATATTGAATTATGTAAGATGTTGGATCGAAAATTTGAAAAATGATTCAATAATTTACTACAAAATAAATGCATTATTTTTTTTGAATTGAAATTTTTTTCTGAACGATTTTAATGACATCTAGTGGTTTGGTTGGAACATTTGTTTATGACAATGTTGCGTTTTTTATTCCAGCATTGAAACCTCGTGGATTTTTTTTTTTGTTTTGTAAATAATATTCATTTTCTTGTTATTTATAATCGCGATTTTCTTTATGTTCATTCTCTAATTTTTTGTTTAATTCTTTAAAATGGATTTTATGAATTTAAATATCAATGATAATCAAAAAGAAGATGAATCCTGGAAACGATTTGCAACATTTGTAGAAACTTTGGTGGCTTTTCTCCATCGTCATGATGATACTAAATCTGTGATTGGTTGGATTGAGGAAGAAAGAAAAACAAATAGTGAAGAGGAAATTTTGAAAAAATTAGATGCAAATAATGAATTTCGTAAAGTATTGTCCCAATTTACTGATTTATGTTGTTCAAATTTAAATATGGCCGAAGGGTTCATTAAAGATCACGAAAAAGCAGTCGAAATTTTTGAAGATTCAAAAGCTAAAATAAATGAACAAAAATGGTCCGATGCATTACATTTGATATCAAAAGCTATTCGACTTTGTTCGCCAAAAAAAGATGACAATTTGCTTTTACATCTTTATGATAAACGATCAATTGTGTTCTATCAACTCAAACAATATCATGATTGTGTTTTGGACATTCGTGAAATACTTGCCCTAAAAAATGATGAAAAAAGTTCATCGGTCAAATTCTATTTACGAATGGCTCAAGCGGCCGTTAATTTAGATAATCAATGGGATGATTTAGAATTATTGTCCAACGTTATAAATGATTGTCAATCAATCCTGGCCGTTCTCAATGAAAAAGAACGTGCACAAATGGAAAAAATGCTAACATTGATGGATTCAATTTTAAGTAAAAAACGCGAAGAATCGTCACACGAATCAAATGACAATGGAGAAAAAAAATCTATAAATTTGGAGAATCTAAAAATTTCTAACCCTCATCCGATGATCAATGGTGCATCAGACAAACTTAGATTAACTTGGATAAATGCTCAAACAAATCGGGGTTATTCAGCTCAAGATATTATAGATGAAGGTGAATTAATATTTATGGAAAATTCATTTGTTTGTAATTTTTTGGCCGATATAAATGATTCCTATTGTGCCAATTGTTTACAACGTCTTTGTGATCCTGTATTCAACGATTCAGTAATCAATGATAATGATGAAGATGATGATGATGTGATTGAAGAAAAATCTGAAGAATATATGAAAGAATATAGTCATTTTGTTCCGTGTCCATCATGTAGTAAATTTATTTTCTGTTCACGAAACTGTCAACTGAAAGCATATAAAACATTTCATCAACATGAATGTCTTAATTCATTGTTACCGTTGGAAGAAGTACTTGGTATTGTCTATCTGATCATACGATTAATATGTCGAACATATGATTCATTTGTTGAATTGGCTATCAAAAATTCAAATTTTATTATAGATGAAGAAAATTTCGAACAATCATTAGATGGTGATTATAAATCTGTTGTTCGACTTATGTCTCATGATGATAAACACGATGAAAATTCAAAAATTTCTTTTATATTAACAGCTTTCTTTCTACAAGATGTATTGGAACGATACAGCATGTTTGATTTAAGTAAAAAATCAAACAAAAATCGTATTTTCTTTTTAAAATTGTTTATTCATCATTTACAACAATTATCAACAAATTTAATTACGATTTTTGATCAGAATTTAGATCCAGAATGTATAGAAAATTGTACGGAATCACCCATTGCTATTGGTCTTTATCCAAATCTAGCATTATTTAATCATAGTTGTGATCCAGATGTTGTACCATTATATAAAGGAACGCAATTATTTTTCAAAACAATACGAAAAATTCCCAAAAATAATGAAATTTTTTTCTCGTATGGTCCGACGTTTAAGACAAAATGTTATTATCAACGTCAAAAATTACTGAATGAACAATATTTTTTTACTTGTCGTTGTTTGGCTTGTATTGATAAACGTGAAAATTATGATGGTGCTATGCTTTGTCCAACTTGTTACGGTCCTTCATTCATTGATTCTATAGAAAAATCTGAGGAAAAAAAATATTTTATGATTTGTCACAATGGCCATCGTACTGAAGATATTGAACCAATCAAACAGGAAGTTTTGCGTGGTATACAATATCAGAAAGCTGGCTTATATTTTTATAATTTAGCTTCTGAAAGAAATGATGATGATGATTATGTTGCAGCAATTACATCATTCTATAAAGCTGATGTAATTTTTACAAACACATTGTTTTGTTTGAATGTATTATGGCTAACATTGAAAAGACAAATGATCGATTGTTATGTAAAAATGGGCCATTATGATCGTGCTGTTATATATTGTAAGCAGTTAATTTCCAGCTATTATAAAAATTCAAATCAATCGGATCAATTGCCTTTTCTTGTTCTAGAAAAAGTTCGTTTGATTAAAATTTTACGTTTATTGATTGAAGAAACTGTTGATTCTCAAGAATTTGGACGTTTAGGTCATGAACTTAAAGGTCTTGCTGATTATTGTCTATCTCATAGTGAATTTATTAATCCAAATGATTTACAAATACTTCGTGAACAACAATCGGCAAAAATTTAAAACAATATTTTTTTCATTATGTTTGCTATATTCTATATATTCTATTATTCTAAAATATTACTTTTTGTTTTTGTTTGCATGATCTGTCAAAAGATGGCATCATTTATATGAATTATATTATTTTCTTATCAAAAAAAAATGGCAAATTTCATTTATTTAAAAATAAAAATAAAAACGATCAAATAATTGTATCCATTCCTTATTTGATAAATGAATGAAGAAAAAATAGAGAAAAAAAAACTTGTAAACTCTTTCTCACTGAATGTCAAAAGAAAGAGAATAAAAAAAAAGATTGGTTGGCAAAAGAAAAAAAAATTATAAGTTCAAAATATAGAATAAAATACAATAATTGGTGATAAAATTATTGGATTTCAATGATTCAAACAAGAAAATAAAATAAAAATTGACACACTCTTGATTCTAAGTTTTTTTTTGGTGAGTATATTATGTGTGTAATTTTATTATTATCTATCTTTCACATTTATTGATTTGTTTTTTTTCAATAGTAATTATATCTATTGTTACGATAATATAATGCACTATTGGCACGATTGGGCGTCAAATCTATTGATCTGGACCAGGAATTTGGAGCACTAGATTCATTTTCTCGTTGTAAACTGAGAAAAATTTAAGAAAAAAAAACAGAAAGAAAAGAAATTATTATTATTTTGATTAAATGATGATAATTTGTTCATTTGATTTTTACCCTAATGATAATGACCAGGTGTATGTTGGCAGTCGAGTTGTAATACGATTTATTGCTTTTGGTTGAGTATTCGTTGTTGTCGTCCAATTCGTCCACCAAGTAATATTGGTCAAACGCCATGGAACATTGTTATTTTGATTTCCATTATTATTATTATTATTATTGGAACCAGATCGACTTGACGTAACAATCCGTATAGATGGATCGACTTGCCCAGTGGTTCTAATATTGGCATTAGTAATAATTGAACGTTGTGGTTTTGATTCCCATTTGGTCCAATTAGTGAATGTCGTGAAATTTGTTAGCCATTTTTTCCAATCATATGATGATTGATTCCATTTCCATGATGACGATGATGTTGATGTTGATGGTGATGTTGTTGTTGTCGATGTTGTTGAATTATTTTTCCAATTATTCAATCGAGAATTCCATTGTTGATCAATAATATTAGTAGATGACGAAATATTACGACGATTGGAATTATTTCGATTATTATTATTACTTGCTGTACGACTACGAGAACGATTACGATTTCCATTTCTATTTGATGTATTTTTACGTCGATTACTATTAGTTCTTCTAGTAGAACTGGATGTTCTTGATTTTGGTGTATTTGTTATTGTTGTTCGTTGAGTTGTTGTCGATGTAGCCATTGTTGGTTCAATACGATTATAAACGGTAGAATATTGATTATTATTATTATTATTATTGATGATAGAAAGTGATGTTGATGATGGATGTTCGATTGGCGTACCCGATAATAGATTCGTATCGATTCGATTATCAACCAAAGCGTATGCATTAATATTCGAATCCCAATTGGCAACAAATTCACACAAAGCTTGAAAGTTTTTCGATTTTCCATATTGTGGTGGACATTTACTTAATGGTGTACCATTTTCATACATTTTTTCACCTAAATAATTGCCACCAGGTGCATAATTACATGTATAAAGTTGAACAGTTTTAAAAACGGAACCAGGATTCTCATAATCGGAATATGTTGTAAAACCACAACCAATTCGATTAGTTTCTGCCCAGGCAATTTGTGTGAAATGTCCAATATTTAATTGAAATAGATCAAAACTGAATGCTACTTGTGGTGGTGCAATCTTAATCTCTTCATACCATTCACGAATTACTTTTCGCCAATCTGGATCGATTTTTGATCTTGTCGTACGATATATGTATAGATTTTGACCAACAACCGGATAACGTTCTTTTTTTAGAAAAAAAAACAAAACAATTTGTTCATCAATGAATTCATTTACATATTGATGATTATGATTTGGAAAAAAATTGCATACCTGTACGACGACAATCATAGCAATCATGTTCGAAACGACATTGATTTGCATGTTTCTGTGCTACATAGGCTAATTCATCATCCCATTCTAACGTAAGCATATTGGCAGCAGATGGAAAACCAAGATTACTTTCATTACCACTCGCTATTAAATTACGATAATAATTATGAATATCCAATATTAATTGTCGTTGTTTTTTATCAACTCCTTGCTAAAATCATTTTATAATGTTGGGAAAATTAAAAAAAAAATTATTATTCGAGAATAAAACTCTTAATTAACACTAGATAAATGAAATGAAACAGAAAATTGTGTATATTCGTGTCTGAATATTGTTGTTGATAATTGATCGATATACTGATCAATCATCGATCATCATCATGATAATTAAAATAATAAAAAGAGAAAGTTATATAGAAAGAGACAATTGATAATAATGATGATATAACTTGTTTTTTTTAATTCTCGAATCATTGAGATTTGTTCAATGATACAAAAAAAAACGAAAACAAAATTTCATTTTATTTTTGCTTTGGTTTTTTTTGCAATAAAAAAAGAAAAAGAAAATGTACTTTGAGAATTTAATATATAATAGTAACAAGAATTTTTTCTTTTCGGTGTTTGTTTTTGACTATTTGTGATGATTATATAATTTTTTCTTGTTTTTTTTTCTTCTTAAGTCCCAAAAACCTTGAACACATAAAAGAAAACTAATCAATAATATTTTTTTCACATTTATTATTTTTTTATAATTATTAATTTTAATCGATCGCAATTTGTTCTGATATCTGGTATGTTTTGATCATCAATAAGATAAGATTGATCTTTGATTTTGTTGTTTTACTTTTATTTTATTCTGACAATTCAAGGATTCTAATTTTATTTTTGCAATTGAACAAAACAAATGAAAAACACTTACCTCTGATAATCGACAATTTTTATTCGGTTTTACACATGCTGTATGTGATTTAGTAAATTTAGCAAAATGTTTTTGACAAATCGATTGATCTTGTACGTTCGTTTGGCCATTCACATTATCGATAATATTGATGATCATAATGATAATGATGATGGTCATCGTTGATAATGTAATCCATGATGATGATGATAAACAAATACAATGATAATGTTTACTTTTGGCAACAGTTCGATGATAACTTGTATTAATCATTTTGCTGGAAGAATATTGAATAAAATTTGATAAAATTAATATTCAAATGATTTTGTTGATAAAATTTTAAAAATTTATTTATTTTGAAACACAGCAAATTGGATTGTAATGTCTGAATGAATCGAAAACAATTATCACATTAATTTAAGCAGCAATAATAATAAGAATAATTATGATTTCAACAATTATTAAAATAAAAAAAAAAAAATAAAAAATTTGTTTTGTTTTGTTTTCAAATTCTTCTTCACAATCGATTATAAAATCAAAAAAAAATCAACCAATTCAATGGTTATGAAGAATAATGATTAATGATGATTCTTTTGATCAATGAGAATTTGATTTATTTTTATATTAATGAAACAAACAAAAAAAACAAACAATAATCATCAATAATTTTGGCTATATATACTAGTGATTTTGATTCAACAAAAAAAATGTATTTGAATAATAAATTGAAATATTACAGACAATAACACAATTTTATATATATTCAATGTTGTTTTAGTGTAAAAAAAAATATAAAAATTATTAATCGATTGTAATTTGAATTTTGTTCTTCTTCTCTTCAAATGTGCGTGTGTATCCACACATGGCATAAATGATGATGATGATGATGACCAAAATGGTTGAATGGATTATGTTTTGTTTTTTTGGAAAAAATTTTCATTTCAACAACAACAATCAATCAACCAAATCAACATAACAAAATATCTATTATATCAAATAAAGAAAGTAAGAAAGAACAGAGATACCATCCTTGGAACCTAAAATACAATGGTAAATGTAGTCATACACAGATACAAAACACATTGCAACTACCCTGAAACACATACATTGGATAGGTAAAAAAAAAGCATATACACGAAGCCCAAAATCAAATATCATAAATACTAAAAGAATCAATGTATAATGATGACGTCACCATCAATTATCATCATCATCATTATCACATACAGTAAAATGGTACATTGAATAGTGATCATCGAATGTACCACCTTTTCCTCCTCCTTCTACTTTTCTTATTATTCTCCATCATCTACCTTTTTTTGTTTGTTTGTCAACTAATATTTCTTCTTATTTTTTTCAACGATTCTTATATTCAATTTTCTAGAATTTCATTTTGATCAAAACAAAATATTTTGTCCCAAAAATAAACAACAACAACCGTAACTGTAACAAAAACGAAAACCGTCATTATGGATGTCATCATTATTTTAATCTGAAAAAAATTTACATATTGCAATGATCGTTTATTCATAATTAAACGTATCAATCGAACATAATAATAAAAAACAAATATAGTTGATTAATTTAAATACAGATCATTGGAAAATTTTCAAGTCAATTTGATTAATTAATAAATTTTTGTGGGAATCTTTTTTTTCTATATCAAATGACAAGGATAGAGGAAATATTTTCTGAAACTTAATGTTATGACGATTGTTCATGAGAATTTTCACGTACATCATGACATATTTATCAAATAGAATCATATCAATATTTTGTTGTAAATCATGTAAATAAATAATCAATAATGAAATAATTAATTAATTAATTAACAAATCAATGGAAAATTACTTGAATATACAAATTGTTTATTTTTTGATTCTCATGATTATCATAACGGCAATTGTTGACAAACTTGATACGAATGATTTAAAAAAAATGATTGTGATCAACATTTTTATTAATCGTATTTTTGTCAAAAATATTTCACGTATTTGACGTCGATGATAACGATTGATTGATTGATTAATCAATCAAATTTTGTTTTGGATTATTTATTTTGGAAAAAAACCGTTCAAATATATATTTTTTATATAAATTCAAATTTAAATAAACAGATGATCTGCATATGTTGTTGTATTTGTATGAAATGAAATTGTTTGAAAATAAAATAAGAAAAAGATACATGATACATCGAAATTGAACAAATCTTTGACATGTAGAATTTTATATTATTATCAACAACTGTTTTTTGATGGTGATGGATGAATATTTTTGTTTTTAAAAATAAAAAGGTTTACATTACATTCGGAATCGATCGCTATTCTTTTCATACAGAATAATTACCATTTATATATTTGAATAAATATCATGCAACAACAACAATAAAAAAAACACTGTGAGTTTTTATGAAAATGGTAAAATAAAAACAAAACGGAAAACAGAAAATTTAAATATCATTTATAACCATTCATTCATTTATCCAATCAATCAATCAATCATTTATTCAATGAGATAAATTACAATTTGTCATTTTCTAGTTTTTAAACGAAATAAAATTATTTTATAAAAATTGTTGAAAAAAATGGGGGTAGACAATGAGAGGTAAAGTATTTAGAAAAATTTTAAAAATAATAATCACAAAAAGGAAATGAAATTTTTCAGTATTCTTCACAATTTTGTTTGCGGAAACAAAATCTTTTTTACAAAATTAAATAGGAAAATAATAGCTTGGTAGTAAAAAAAAAATCATTAGAAAAAAATTCATATTCAATTATTCATTCGCTATCTCTCTCACACACACTCTCTCTCGCTTTATCCTTTTCTTTTAAACACAAAGTTTTTCTTCTCCATATATAATTATTCATACAAATCATTTGAATTCAATTCAAATCGAATCGAATTGATCAATTTTAATATATCGGTAATTTTCTGCAATGAAAAAGAAGACAAAAAAAACAAAACAAAACAAAAAACATGAATAAATTTGAGAATGAGAAAATAAAGAATAAGAAAAAATGTTTTTTTTTTCATTTGCTGACTACATACAATTCTCATTCATTTATTATAATCAATGACCATCGATTGATATTATATTGTTGTTGTTGTTGTTGATGATTGCACCATACAACACAACAATCAATAATCATAAAAAAAAATAAATGAATGATGAATTTATAAAAAAAAGATGCGACGATGAAAGCAACAAATATTAATAAAGAAAATATATGTGTAAAAAATTATTTGAAAAATTCATTGTCACGATCATGGACAAACAAACAATCATCATCCATTGGATGGATCACAAGATGGATCGAACCAACAAACAAAATGAAAAAAGCACCTAACCCCAAATCTATTAATGAATCTCGAAACCAGCCAGCCAGTGAAAAAAAAACCAATCAAGACAAGTCAATAAATCACACGAACAATCGTTTAGAATAACATACGTACAAACAAGCAATTAATTTATGAGTTAATCATAATTTGGCAATTATTTTAATCATCATATCGCACGTGGTTTGTTTTTGTTTACGAAAACAAACATATCATATATTATGAATCTAATATATTTTTATCGCATAAATTCTTCATTTTTTTTTTTGGTAGCCAGAAAAAAAGAATAGGCAACTTTATCCATTAGAATTATGTGAATTATATATTTTTTTATTCAATTTTTCCTTGCTGCTTGTTTTGTTTTCTTATTATCATATTTATCATATAATGATCATTTGTATTGCACATTTTTTTTCTCGCAAGAAAAAAAACCATAAAGATGATATTTATCGATTGATTATCGATTATTGAAATTTGTTGAACGATATTATCATCATGATCATGAGAATAGTTCTTTTCCTTATTTTTTTTAAATGTTGAAACTACAATGGCAAGGAGAACAATGAAATTTTGTCATTGATTTTCATTCAAATTTGCATCAACATTTATTCGTTTATTTCTTTTGGCACAAAAAAAATTCATCTATCTGATGATGATGATGATGACGACAATCTTTGCAATATTTTTGATTTCTTTACTTCTTCAAAATTCAATCGATTGAATGATTTGTCGGGTTGATTGTCGATGTATATCATATGATAATATGTCTATGTATCTTTCGTGTGTATGGTTGAGTCAACCGAACAAGATTCGCGAGAAACAAACATCAATAGCCAATCAAGTACAAGTGCAGAGAGAGAGAGAGAGAGAGAGAGAGAGAGAGAGAGAGAGAGAGAGAG